TTAATTACGCATCGTGTGAACACCCTACAGATTAGGTATACACACACACTCACACATACGCGGCGGGGGCGTGGTTTTGTATCAGCACGCCGCCGCACGCGTCCACACTTGGAACACTTGGAACGTGTCAACACTTTATTTATTTATACGGAAATTTTGTCAAAAATTAAGTGCCTATTTTTTTTACATAATTCGAATGAGAATCATGTACCGAGTATTCTCCTTAAATATTGATAGTAATTCACCAGTCACCCTGTATATTGTTTCATTTAATATGTTCAAACACACAATTTCTGTTGCTACCTATAAAGTATATAGAACAAGACAAGAAACATAATTTTCTTTTTTTTCAGTAATAGAAAAATAATAAAAGAGTATTATAATGTTCAGATTATATTTACAAAGCCTTCTAAGTGTATACAAAATCTGCGTACAGGTTTAAAAATACGTTAATAAGATAAACTAAATAAATATATATCTTCAATTTCTATACTAGCGTATAGAACTGTTCAATAATAATATAGCTTTTAAATACAAATTAAACACGTTTTAATGTTTAATATATTTTATGTATATAATGTAATAATGTACCTGTCATTACATGTCCGTGATCAAACAGTATCTGCTACCTGTATTTTTGGTGTGGGTTCCGCCTTTTCTGGCCACCGTACGTACCCTGTCGACAGTGACACAGTGTAGTGTGATGCCAATTAATATTATTTATAGTATAGTATAATAAATAATAATAAATGAAGCTAGTACGATTCAAGGTAGAGTGAGTATACGAGCGGGTCAATAGTAGTGTCCAGTTTTTAATTTTATACCTAATTAATTTTTATATCATTTTATTCTAGTAGAAAATGTAAAATATGCAAGTGTGAGATTAAAAGAATATATTAATTATTTAGTATACAAGATGTATGTACACATAAACGAAGGAAACTAGAATAATCTCAAAGAGTTTTACTAGGAGCAAACGCAAGTAGGTCATTGGGACAGAATCTTATCATGGTTTCTAAGTCTTCTACTGAAAATTTTAAAAGGGGTCTCTACTTATATCTAGTGAATTAGATGTTGTTTATTATGAAACCATTTAAATATATTTGTATCAGTAACTAGGTAACGGTTTATTGTCGTTGTGTACCCGACACCCGTGCGGGCGTACCAACGTGCTGCACTGCGACGTTACTGCAGCTTGATCGATAACCAGCCACGGATACGTGGACGAAACTCGTAAAACACTGAAGAGAGAAAAACATCTGCTCGATGGAAATATAAAGAAAGTAATATCGCCTATCTCTCAGTACTAATCTTATTGTATAAGACGTTGCTGCCTTATTGTGCTGCACTGCGGCACGATACGGATCAATCGATACATGGACATTTTATAATAGAGGAGTTTGTGACTCCTAACTCCTGTGGCCACTGAAATACATTAAGTTCTAGTATAAATAATTAATGAATTATTGATTGCGAGATTTCGTGCGAATCTAGGCAAGGCTGGCCAGGGCCGGGCGTATACCTTGACGGAGGTTAAGCTTCAAATATATGCTGGTCGAAGTATAATTTATTATTATTTAACTAAAGTAACGTTTACTATTATCTTGTTTTGTATAAATAATTTTATATTTTCAATTCTATTCTTTTACTCCTTGCTATCTTAGCGAGTAGTCATTGAAGATAAGTCTTCGATAGTTTCTTGCGTGCATTTAAATACTCGTAGTCTGCAAAAGGACCTATCGTTGTTCCAAGTGTTACACTCTACTGAACCTATTTGCTTTATATTTTGATGGTATAAGGTATTTTAGTTCCATAATCTAAATACAGCAAGTCTCAGTTCCAATTGAAAGTCGTAACAATCGCCCGCGTGTCAGAGTTAGTGGAGTTATAAATAAAATTTCAACTCAGTGATAAGTGAATGGTAGATAAAGTATTTTGGTCGCTATGTGTAACGTCTTGTACTCTTGAAATCGTAATCTCAGATCGCCTCGGATACGTAGGAGACAATGACCGCTTTATTTGTTTATTTTTATGTGTATTTTTTTAGGCATGTGCCAAGAAATAGTATCTTAAAAATGGATTGTGTCAACATTTCTACTACGAAGAGGTAATACGATCTAATATTTAAATAATTCTTTATTATATGATTTGATAATTTCGGTTTTTCCGATAACCTTCGTATTAAGTATGGCCAGTTACTTAAAAATGATATGTTTATATCAAAAATATTTCTTTTACATAATGATAATAGCCGTGATAATTAATAATAGCTTCGATATTAATTGTTGAAAAACAATGAAGAAAGTCTAGAATCTAATTTCAAATCTAAAGTGTAACTTATGCTGTAGAACTAAAGTTATCAGGTATACAATTAATAATATAGTACATATGATAAATATTAGTATTTTGAAACATTTATTGCCAAGATTTTTTACGAGTTCAATCTGAAATAGTTGAACAGAAAATTATTAATATATTGTTATCAAACTCAGTAGTACTGTTCGGAATGACCGTACAAATGATCCTATTACGTTAGTTCGTAATAAATGAGGAACAAATAGCCGAGGAAAGAACACAAAAAGGAGCAGAAATGTATATGTATAGAAGATTTATCGATAACGATTATCTTAATGATGGAATGATGACAGTCATATTGGTAACGTATCTTGAAACATGTGTGATGATTGTACGGAGTCAGTACACCGCAGGAACAAAGGCCGGCAGGCTCGACTTGTACAGACACACACGAGGTATTGAAAGAGAAGCTCGAGCTTAGAGCACTCGAGATGTGAATGGAGAGATAGAGATGATGCCCACTTGACTTCAAGGACCGCTTTGAGGCTCTGATGGGTGACGTCACCAGCCCGCCTGACAGTGATGCAATAATGACGCATTACGACTGATGCGGATGTCATTAAATATATAGGATCTGGAGAGAGATTAATTTAAGTATTAAGTATGGAGATAGAAATATAAATAGTACTCACATTGACCTTTAAATTATTACAAAACAAGCATTCGAATTACAGCGCCCAGGACTCTCGGTACGAACTAAAAAAATATAATTGGTTTAATTCGTTCGTAACAAATTGTGTAATAATAAATTAACAGAATAGTTCATGTTCAAAATAAGCAGTTAGTCTTTCGATTGATGTATTAAGAATGTTTTTTCTACATTACATTAATAAATAGCCTTCGCTGTGTAATACATCGATTATTTAATGATTCCTGTGAACATGTAGCCGGTGGCTCGCTCGTCACTGACGGGAACTGAAATTAATGAACCGTTAAATTTTTAACTTGAAATAGACTAGTCGTCACGTGGACGATAAACTTCACACCGTACAGGTGGATAGGGAGATTCATTTGAATAGACAAAATACAAATATTTGTTTCTTAAATTAAATAATAATTGTTTCTGAAATTTTATAAGATTTTATACATTTCATAATATTTTGCGAACTCTCATAGCTAATAGTATGAAACAGTTGTGAACAGTAGAGCTATTGTCGAGAAGACGAGGCTGACGGAAATTTCAAAGTGGGTAGGTAGGTGTGGGAGGAGGCTCGTACCAATGAGATCGGAAGACACGAGACAAGAGACACGACGCTCAGATGAGGAATGATGGTCCTTAGAAGAAAAGTATTGAATGTTATACCGATTGAGAATGTCCACACTAGATTGAGTGTCTTTTTGATCTTCGTAAAAAAGCAATTTTATCTATTTAATATCTAGTAGATCGTCTCGCCTTTCTCTTAAAGAACAAATTTTATATAAAAAACTGAATCTGACTTTTTTATTTCTTATTGGAGCGTGCGGGGGTTCGAAACGTAATTTTCGAAGCGGAATTCAAATGACGAGCTCTGCATTGAAATGTTCAAATTTATGAGTGACATCTTTTTCTATTTTATTTTTTTGTCAAAAAAAGGACAATACAAATGTCGGTCGTGCCCGTTATAAAAGCATCGCGTGGCACATTTGGACGGTATGTTTATTTCGTGCCGCAGAGCCTAAAAACAATTCCCGAAAGCTAGCAGCTTGTACGCTTGTATTGCGAGCAGTGAGTGAGTATTTATCTTTTCACTCGTACATATTGACGTTCAACGGCTCACTGAAATCACAACTTATTTGTGTTCCGGGACGCTTTGTTTACTACTAGGGATGACAGAATACATTCCTGACAATAGGAATAATATGAACATTGATACAGCATTACTATGTAGTATATTTCTTATTTATATTAAATCCAGTTATTAGTTGGTCTTAATCAGTCTATTCTTTAATATCAGCTCGCTACATCTATTTACTTATTAACATGTATATATTTTTATTTATAGTTTTAATCATCTAAATACTTCTCTTCTGCTATCGTCATACATATGTTGGCGTTATCTGTAACAGTTATCAATTACTGTTCACTTCCTTTATTAGTTGTTCTCGTAGTCTTCTTTCTAAACTTCTTCGCTGGTCATTTCTTCTGACATCAGCCCGTGTGTAGCTCGTTCTCATGAGGGTCACAGGTCACCACTATGTGTATATATTTTCTGTGTCGGTGTGTAGTGTTCATAATGCATGCTGATGGTTCGTGTTTACGACTGTTATCATAGACGATTGGTTGTTAAGCTTGACTAGTACTGCGTTTAGAGATTACAGGACACGCTTCAGTTACATGTACCTGTTATAGTTGTATATTATACTATCATGAGTAACATGTTAGGCTGACGGTATCACTCACGACGCTGGATGTCATCATAGAGCTGGTCGAATGCACCTCACTGACTTACTGACTCACCCTCGGGTATGTCCGGACACGGATAAAGTTCAGCTTCAGCCGTCCCCACAGTAACACCAGGACTATAATCAAACAGCATCCATGTTATGTTAAATCTACTAAAATATTCTTCGTATCTAAACTAATTACCATAAACAGTCTGAGTGCCGTTCTTAAAGACCTGGTGCTCTAATGTCCTTGCTCGGTGTAAATGGTTGTTGATTTCCAGCGGTGGAGCCGACGTACCACTTCAAGGTGCTGGTGCCGTCGATGGTGGCCGGCGCCATCATCGGCAAGGGTGGTGAGACCATAGCGCAGCTGCAGAAGGACACGGGGGCCAGGGTCAAGATGTCCAAATCGCATGATTTCTATCCAGGTGAAGTTCTTCATCATGTTTAACTACACTAAACAGACCATTATCCATTATATACATCAGTATTTACTGCTGCTGTAGGTATAGATAGGTCGACAGACTACTTGTTCAAGTGCTGCTCCGTCAGCGGTTTTTACGAGACGCTCATGAAATGAAACTGTTACAAAAGAACAAGAACAAATTATATTAAGTACACTCGATATAAACGTTTCAAAGGCACAGATTTTGTTAATGAAATAGCTTTTATTTACGAGTATTGTTTTGTTTTGTATCGTAATTATAATAATCGTATGACTAACATATTTTAAAGAGTATCTAAAGCTAAATATTAAGAATTATTTATATGATAAAGTGAACTAAATAATTAACGAAATAGGTTAAAACGGTTGCACAGTAACGTGACTAAATTTTTATATTTCCAACCGAGCGATATAAACTTTGAAGTGTCTCGACGGTTTAACAAAATATTTTTGTTAAATTTTTTCTCTGAAAATTTAAACGTTCATTTAATTTTAATTTTTGCCGTCGGTGTCTCATTAAAGAAACGAGAGCATACGTAGGCCTAGAAATTAAACGCTTTATAGGATTTGTCAAGAGATGGAGGCGCGCGGTGACCCAGATGTGTCTGGGCCCGAGCCTTTGTTCGAAGCCTACTTAGCGAGGGCGCGACTCACAAAGAAAGCCAGTCTTATACAATATTAAGATAAGGGCCATAGGCGAATAAGAGATTGGAACAATCCCCTTTATATAGAGGCATTATTCTAAAGACTTATTATATCATACGGCGCAGCGGCTACTGTGGAAAACGAGATAATTAAAACTGTGTGATGATTTTAATGGAACGGTTCATCAGTATTTATATAACCAGCAGCGTGACGAGGTCCTGGACTCTACACGAGACGATTAATATAACAATTTGATAAGTTATTGTTGTAGCTTTAAAGTTATCACTCACTAGCTTTCCGCCCGCAGCTTCGCCGCGTGGAGTTCGGTTATATCGCGTTTCCAAGAGAACCTTTCAAAAGTCTGGGATAAAAACTATCCTATGTTCTTTCTCAAGGTCAACTCTATCTCTGTACCGAATTTCATTAAAATCAGTTCAGTGGTTTAGGCGTGAAAGCGTAGCAGACAGACAGACAGACAGACAGACAGAGTTACTTTCGCATTTATAATATTATTAGTAGGGATTATATTCAGCGGAGTCAGAAAAACAAAAAATATATTTTTATCCTTTTTGAAATACAAATTAAAATCCAAATAGAACATAATCCCAACGACATTGTCACCAGGGATAGGTTCTTCAGAAATCCTTCAAACGTCAATCGATTATGTTAAATTCTGTTCAAAGTAGATTCAGATACACGATCCAGTGTGTCTTGTTATGCAGATGTGTCTTTCAAGTGTCTATGTACGGTACAACACATTACAGTATTACAATGTCTGTAGTAACGTCGGTAATCTCTTAACTAATCTTCATTATCGATCCAACCGACACTGAGCTCTAGTATTGTACTTGTAATATTCCACACACAACTATATTATGGTCGGACATAAATTACAGACTGGATAGCTGGCTCCATTGTACTCGGTAATGAACGAGTGACGAGTCGCGGCATGGACGACAATATATTTTAATATTTAACCTACTCCGCCGAGGAGGAAATGTTTTTAAAGTTTTTCATTCACGTAATAGCTTGGGAACTGTACCAAGCTGAGTTCTTTATATATGGTCGCTCAAGTTCAAGGCCGCCGTGTTTGCGGACCTGATTCCAACGTCAGCTCGTGTGGCGCCATCTCTTGACAGATATTTTTAGTATCCACTTGGCCGTCGCGGAAAGGAAATATATGTTCGTGATTAGAATTACACTTACATACACACAAAGATAAAAGGACACTGGAAATGAGGGTAGCTTGGAAATTGTAATCGCGAAAGTCCATTAAACTCTCGGGGGAGAAAATTTGGTATTTTGAGGTCAGGAAATGAAAAGGACTTGTTATCGGTTTGGGCTCGACATTATTATTTATGAAAAGAATGTATTGAGATGAATGTAAGGAGTCTGTAAAATATATTTATATTATAGGTATATACATGTAACTTAAGAGTTTACTTAGTTCTTTCTGTATTAGTATAAAACAACTCTTTACGTTTGACATAGAATATATTCAATAAATCAATATTCTATCACTTAACTTCACATCTAAATCTAGTTAATGGTCGGCAGTTTTTAATAAAAGCATTCCAAAACTGCACTTTCTCGTTCTATATATAACCCTTACTATTTTCTATACGACGATGGGTATCACAATATATTAAGGAATGAGCTCTAATTATATCACAAAGACGCTCGTTTATAAATATTGTATGATTTATAAATAAGATCTCGGCGGAGTTGTAATACATTAGGTCATAGTGTATTTATTGCATCCCGTCTCGGCGGGGCGACACGTGTCGACCGATTAGTGTGAACAGATATTGAAATAATGAGAATATTTGATGAATCGCGGCCAAAAATCGCAGCATTGTTGCTGATTACTGTTTTGATTTTGTTATATAACTATCACTAAAATGTAGCTTAAAAAGACTTGTCAGTTCCTGATACGAGTTGATTTCATAGCGTGAAGCCGTGAACAATTCGTTCCGTTTTGTGATAACTAAAACCGCTTTGGTGTTAATATTTCGACATAGCGAACGGTACTATAGTCACATTATATACAAGTGGAAGTCGCGGTTCAAGGACTAGTTTCACGAAAATTTAATTGGATTTTGATAGAAAACTACAATAAGTTATTCAAATGCGGACTATTGTTGCTGTACAAACTAGTTTTAAAATTCTTGAAGCGTCAAAGTTTTAAAAACCAGCTTTTTTTATGTCAATAGTTTTTTGCTTGAGCCCAATAGTATTTGTATTGGAACAGTCGTCTCTGGCGAAGGAAATTAAAGTTTCTCAAATTGTATGGAGCGTTCTATCGACTATTAAAGATTACATCACAAGTCGATTTATCAGCCTCAGGGTGTGGAACAATATCGTGGGCACTGACTGCCTAGACCTCAAAGAACTTTATTATTTATCCAAAACAAATTACTTTTTATTTTCCAAGTCGCACGATTAAAGTCTACTAACTTAAAAAACCCTTAATATAAAAGTATCTATGGATTTATAGGACAACTTCTGGTTAAAACTAAATGTAGACAATAATTTGATTTCAATTTATTTTCATAACTACATTGTAAGTCTGAGTAGCACATCTATACAAATATTCTACTCAACTTTAAAATCATAGCTCAAAAACTAGCTAACATTGACTGTATGATAGGATGAGTGACAAGTGCATTCCTGTGTAGCATCTGAAGGCTGCGTGATGTCATCCAGCGAAAATAAAAGTAGACAATGATGACCTTGGAGGATCACAACATTTAATGTATTAGAGACTTGTATCACCTTGACTTATAACGCTTGCTGGTGATGATGAAACATACGAAATGTATTGACCACTTTAATATAAAGAAAATAAGATATTATCGAAAAAAGGAGATTAATGACGATCAAACATTTGATACTTATTAGTGACTTAATTAACATAGTCGTGGCGTGTGTTTGTATATCAAGTAATAATTTTAATCCTCCATTAAATATGTGAATATAATTGCTTCGTTTATTTTATATCTATATTTGCGTCGTCTCGGCTTACAACTGATTACAGCTGACGTCATAGTTGTAACCTCTGTCATATGAATGTCAACTCTATGTGGTTGTATTAAAGTCGTATTCGGTTCTGTTCTCGTTATCTGTGGGTACATCTGCCGGTGACCGGTGGTGGCACGTTTTGGGTCATATATGTTTAGTTTGTTGCCAAATTTCATGTATCGGTTTTGTAACAGCACATTTATTTTGTTATCTATATTTCATAATATTTTTTATCCTAATGTAATGTGTATTTCTTTGTTTAATGATCTCTTGTTCTTTGTTTTTAGATTTGTATTTCTAATATAATAACTTCACAAGTACTACACTTTACGCTTTGTCAATATTATATTAAATTTATTAAGTGTACGAACGTGTCAGATAAACGTATACACATTATATACTCAAGCTTCGAGTCTAGTTTAGTCGGCACATGTTTTATGACTGTTTGAACAACACAGAACTAAAACCGTGTTAGAATTACAATATATAGGTATCATGTAATGCATCATATTTGTAAATGCATATTTTTTATTGCATGTCCAATATCAATGTATTCTAGCTGGTACATTGATCCACAGACACCTCCCTATCTTATCTAACTTCCCATTTCCTGTTTTATTTGTAAATTCTCTGCACATTAAAAATATATGCTATCATAACATTAGTTAGTTTCGTGGCATATTTAAGACGTGCTCTTTCAAACAGCATCAGACCTGGCGGTCCACCCTTGACCTAAAATATCTGATGCTGTAGAGACCTGCATCTTGAGATGACTCGCTTTCAGCGTTGTAATGACAGTGTGAGAATTCACACTTGTGTGTATGTTACATGGAGACTTGTTAGCTATAAGCCGTCGGTGTCGTCACCAGCGAAATATTTATAGATATGAGCTCGTTATAGATAATTAACAGATACTATATCATTTGTATTAAAAGATATATAAATATTATGTTTATGTAGGAAAAACCAGTTATTTATGTTTGAATCGCTAGCTATATGTATGTTAATATAGTACATATATGTACGTGCGTCTTCCGTTATGTAAGTCATCAGCTGACTCCTCTCGTCTTGTCACTCGTTTCCCCCCCACCTTCCTCCAAGAGACACAATAACTTGCGGCACATAATTGGATGTAGAAGATAATCGTGCCGGCGAGCGTCCTTGCTCTATGTTGGGTGCATCTAAGTTTTCTCCTTGCATCTTAATATAGTTCGTTTGTTGTACACTATGAGCTCCTAGCGCCATACATTTCATTATGCAGCGGTTCTATTTTAGGTTTACTGTCGATACGAGTCATTAAAGACCTGGGATTGTGTTCAGATGTAACCTGACGTTGTAATATAAATGAATTATGTTTGACGAAAGGTTTTGTCACTCGTTTAAACAATAAGTATACGAATATAATTACGCTTTTTTATTAAAAAAAATATCTGTCGTAAAGGACAGTACATTAAAATTTTCATAAGAACCTCGACATTTAGAAATTTTATTCTAAAAGACGTTCTACTGTATAGAGGTGTGTCGCGACTCCCCAGACTGTGCCGCTGGTCGTTTTTGGGCGCCTGTCCCTAATTCCACCGCATTGGACTGTTACCAAATGTTAATGACCCGCTTACAGACGAGATCTAGAGCTAGAAAGATCAAACATAAATAGTAGATCTGGCCAGCGGAGTAGCACAAGGTCAAGGAAGTAGGACCGGTTCATGTTGAAGCTGATTACGTAACTACCTGTACTACAGACCTGTTCTACGCGCGGACGGAGAAGACGACTTGATACATTGGTCCATTGATACATCAGTCTTTCTCCTTCTGAAAATACTTACGAGGATGTGATATAATAAATTAATGGTATGTTTTTGTTGCAGTAAAAATATTATGTATTTTTTCAATGCAGCGAACATGAATATAGTTGAAGTTGAACGTAGTAGGTGTCGGTGTGATGACATCATCGTTATGATTAAGTAATCGTTCTCTATAAATAGGTTTCTCGTTCCAACTACGGAACTATAAAACAAAAACTACACAGAAACAATGAAATTGAGTGTGAGGCGAAAACAATCTAGCGTGGGGTCAGTGGGGCCCGGCGCTCACTGTAACAACGGGATAATGAGGAGGCAAAGTGTGACTTGTCCATTGTTCCTGAGGATTTAATTCACCCGGGAAACATCTAGAATAATGCGGCATTCACTCGGATACATAATGGAACCCGGCCCGCTAAAACAAATGACTTTTTAATACACGCCATTTAAACGTTCATTCAGCGTTTTATTTAGTAATATTCACGACTATTCTAATATAACAAAACACTCTCCATAGTCCACGAGCGGTGAAGTTTTGGAATACCTTTCTTAGTTCCTTCCTTTGTGAGTGTCGCGGTGGGCTGGTGGAATTCGTTTGTAACATGACAAAATGTTAATAATGAAATGTGTTAATGTGTGCGGCGGAGGTCACACACACACACACACACACACACACACACACACACACACACAGTGTTTAGAAACGGCCGGCGCTACAGCGACCTCGGCCGCTTTATGATAAAGAGCCACATAATTGCAGCGGCTTTGAGTTTTAAGGAATATAAAATGTTACTTAAACTTAGATCAAACCATAAGAGTAACAAACTAATATATAGTGACAAGGAACTTTGACACAAACCTACCAGTCTACAGTCTTTAAATTTGGTAGGAAGAGTAATTACTGGATCTGTTACAGTTAAAAAATAAACATTAGCCAACAGAATATAAATACATAATAATAGCATTTATCTCCATTAGTCCAATTTAGCTTATTACCACGCTCGTGACATAACATGTCGGAATATAATTAGTAAAGTAATGTTTGTCACCTGAATACCGCTTTTCGAGGTTGAGTTACCAGCGATGTTTTCACGACATGGAGAAGATTTGAGCATTAATTAGTACGCTTACTCAAGGCGGATTGGTGATTTCAAACTTATAATTCTGAAAGTATAAGTCGAGGTTTCCTTACGATATTTTCTTTCACCGTCTGTCAGTGGTGTCTAAATACTCTTAGAAAATACACATATGACTCGGAAAAATCACATTGTATTTACCAGGTTACGGATGTACTTCGAATGTACCATCGTTGTATTTAACGTAAAATGTATTTCCTCAGGTACAACAGAGCGTGCGTGTCCTCATAACGGGGTCGGTGGAGGGCATCATGGTGGTGCTGGACTTCATCATGGAGAAGATCAAGGAGAAGCCGGAGCTGGTGAAGCCGTTCCCGGAGGGAGTGGACGCCAAGATGCCGCAGGATAGAGACAAGCAGGTAGGAACTGGGAGGGCTCTAGAATATATAAAACTAGCTGCGCCCCGCGGTGTTTTGAGGATGTAAAGTAGCCTATGTGTTATTCCTGGACGTCAGATTCCTGTATACAAATTTTTATCAAAACCGGTTCAGCCGTTTGAGCGTGAAGAAGTAACAAACATACACACACTCACAAACTTTCGCAATTATAATATTAGCAGGATATACATCATCAAAGAAAATGTAGTTTATCGCGTTTTTTTATAATTGTTATATGCATAAAATACGGAAAATTTTCCAAATATTATTCCTAATAAAAGTAATATTTTACAACAACAGTGACCAAGCATTGTAACTTGTCGAGATGTGCCCGTGATCACGTTTGATGCAAAGTAATCGAAACGTTGGAAATATATTCAAAAAAATATGGTAGTAAATCCGAAAAATATTACTTTTATTTCAATGAATATTCGCGAAACTCTAGATCTCGTAATTTCAAAATTATTAATATGAATTAAAATATAAATATGACAATGATACTGACGTACAAATAAATTGAGGGTAACAGGTCGATTGAGGATCTTGTTACGAGAATTGTACAGCACTTGTTGTAGACGTGTTCCATTACATGAAGTAGGAGTAGCAGGAACTGGATCACTTGTCATGTGATATGAAATATCCTATATCAAAGAGAACACTCCTTGTGTGAGGAGTCTCATGATGATGACCATTAAGAATATTTCTGCTCAGTTGTAAATAGGCGACATTTAATGAAACAATATAGAATTTTCTCATTTTCTTGCTGGTTGCAATAATTTAAAATATTAATATCTATACATCAATAAAATCGCTGTTCACTGTCTGTGTTCTAAATTTAATTGGTTCTCTCATATAAGAATTGCAAATTATATTTTATTACGTTAATAATGAACTGAAAAATACTAAACGAAGACGGCGAAGGTCGAGAGAAAATCAATGAACGAAGTAGATATGTTATACGTGGAACACGCTTGTATGATTTATTTATATACATATGGATGTAGGAGGGAAAAAGAAATATTTTAACGAATAAAACAATTATTTTTATATTAACTATACGATATCTATGTGCTTACCATAAGTATTCGTCATACTACGTACGAAGCGTCTCCCGTTTCTTATTCAATAATAAATATTAGTACTAATATATCAAGATTTTTGAGTAAACAACTGGATAGGTTGTACCTATGTAATGTGAACTAATTGTAAGCTATGTTGTATGTCGTTTGATAGCTTTCATCAAAACTAATTTACATCCTTATATATGAAGGTAAATCTTCAATGTACTCGTCGTTACAATTTCTGTGACCCTCTCGCCAGATGTCTCTGTATTAAGTCTCATTATCGTCGCAGTACCTTCTGAGCCGAGCCGTGGAAACCTTACATAACGTTGTCAATTTCCGTCATTCTGTTGTCTCACAAATCCTGTTAATATTTTCTCATACTAAATTTCCTTTCTTTCTTCCAAATTACTTTGCTACAGGAAATTATTTCTATCTACTATTTTTGTTCCGTCTCATTTGTTATAATTCTCATATAGGTTTGTTTGTGCTAGTTGTGTTCAATATGTTAACAGCCTCCTTTAATAATTTTTTTTAACCTGATGCTCTCTGAACACTATTCTTTGTAACTGTACTGTATGCAAATTAAAAGCAAACCTCCTATTTCTGTCATGATAATCACCGTTGTGGTGATGCCATCTCGTTTCATCACACTGCTTCATTATATTCATGTAAATAAAACCTTATGAAGGTCACTGTTTCTCGTGAGACTGTATAGAGTAAAACACTTTGATATAAAAATATCTCTATACCAAGTCTCGAGGGTCCGCACTTGTGAAAGGTCCGTAAGTACTCTCTCCCCTGAGTGGGTTCTAAAAGTAGCGAACGTTTCAGTCGCTGTTTGTTTGCTGTTTTCCACCAAATGATTAGATCCAATGAGGCAGATAACTATCGTAATTGAACCGCGGCAACACAAACGTACAGCCAATTAAGCGTAGTCAGCTCTGTACGTGGCACAGTTTGAGAACATTGATAATACTGCACCGCTTGATGTTATGTTCAAATTAATGTTGTGGTTTGTGTCACATGAGTGGAGGTCGCCGTGTGCGGATGGATGCGGCCGCCGTCCATCAAGGCCACTTAATATTTACCGAAGTAGCTGCTAACTTAATTAAAGAAATACCGACAAAAAATTCGATAGAGATAAAATGTTCAAGCTGTCAATATGTTTATGATTATGGCGCACCTTAAGTTTACAATACTTATGCGTTATCTAATTGTACATATATATTGTATATTACTGTATATAAATATTTATTGATGTAACCATCTATATTCTATATCTATGTATAGTACATATTCTTCTGAGACACGTGTCTGTGAACGTGGCTCGTCCATTTTAATGTACATTCATTCTCGGTTGAGGATTGAACATCTCTATATAAAATAATTTAAACTAATTATTATTAGAATCAATTTTATTATAATGATTGTATTTCAGTTATTGTTTATTACAAATGTTTTACTTTTACCAGGACAATAGATTTTTTACCGAATCGTAATTTTAACAGTCTTTCTTGTAAAAAATAACATATATGTATTATAAATCAAAAATGAAGAAAATATGCATTAAAAGATTATAATTAACTAAGTTATTAATATAATCGTACATCCTTAGAAGTCGGTGTAGGTAGTAGAGTAGGGCGAAACGGAATGTAACGTTTTTATGTTTTCCTTAAAGTATTTTCTCACCAATTTATCGGTACATCGTACATTCAATACGTATCGCACGATTTAATTAAAATGTGATAATAGCTGTTGAAACGGTCGGTAGATTCAGAAGCCGATATCTATGACTGGTAAAGTTAAATAAAGAGTACTTTTTAGTTTGTCTATCGTGAAGTAAAATATTAATGGGACTGTCTACTTGGCAGTGTATTTGCTTTGAACCCAGGCTATCCTGGTTTTATTAAAACTATCTTTATCCTTTTCTATGACCACTGTCATTACAACGACTACGGTGAAGGTCCACATGTTTATTGACGAAGTGTGAACACTAAACGGTTGAACCGACGGCTGACGAGCACGGTCACGACTTATTAAAATTCACATATTTTATGCAAAACTCAAAGCGAGTGTAAATTTTAATGAGGCTTGTAAAATAAAACTCGATTACTGTTTAACATAAAGGTCATGAGGTTGGAGATTGTGTTCTGTTTGGCTCTGTGGGAGGGAAGGGTGGGTACAGTGACTTGAATGTAACTTGTAAAGAAAAACTATTGAGGGAAAAATAAAACAATATGTTGAATATTATTAATACTAAACATTGCCGAACGATCGACACATGATCGTTATTGATTGATAATGTCAACTACAACTATAGAATACAATTGACGTTCAGTGACAGCATACAACACGCACACACTGACGGCTCTTCACGGATTGACGTGTTACATATAATATGTGTGTGTGAGTGTCAAAGTTGAGAGTGTGTGTGTGATTTGTAGTTTAAGGGATATAAAATAATTGTAATACAAAAAGATATAGTTGTATGCACTTTTCCTTCGTAAAAAATTTTACTGTTTTCAATCCCAGAATCGTGCACTCGTGCAGTTTTTGAAGACTGATAAAATATTATTTTTCTGTATTAATATCATATAGTGACGAGGTTGTATGAATAGCTCTGCAGTTTACCATAACCTGGGCCATCTGTTGTTCCAGGTGAAGATCTTGGTGCCGAACTCTACAGCTGGTATGATAATAGGAAAGGGGGGCAACTACATTAAACAGATCAAGGAGCAGAGCGGCAGCTACGTACAGATATCTCAGAAGGCGAAGGAACTGTCACTACAGGAGAGGTGCATCACTGTTGTAGGTGAGTACAATAGAGGAAGCAATCTCAAACTCAAACTCAAATAACTTTTTTCAATATAGAAGCATTACACTTTCTTATTGATGGTCACTTGAGACACTACCACCGGTTCGGATAAGAAAATACCCTGACCTGAGAAGAACCGGCGAAAGAAAGAAAGATACAGAAGTTACAGCAGTCACACTCGTGGTGTTCCGTAGTCATTTGGATATAAACATTACTTTGAATATATCATTCCGAGCTGATGTTCCTACATAGTTAGATGTTTTTTTCCGCACATAATAGTCGCCGTCACTGAATCCCTTGTAATAAGCGGAATTAGAACGTGACCCAGTTGTGCTCGTATTCATAGGTTCTGCAGCTCATCACGAAAACGGCACCGAAATTACTGCAAAATGATTCCGCACAAAAATATAACATATTTTTATTTACAAACAGAAGCTCGCGAAATTCGCGCATTGTTTGCTTTTCATGTGTAATGGCTTGATGTTGCATTTATAGTAATGTCTATATTTTAACCTACTTACAACTTGATATATGTTGACTACGCCATGATATTATTTAAAGCGAGTGATCAAATATTACATAGACTTAAAAGAATTTTTATAGATAAGGAAAAACGTTTATTATAGTGTGGACTCTACATGTAACTATGACCAGTTAGACTATAGACTATGATATAAGAATTTAAGTCTCAATCGTATGATGCCCGTGTTTCCAGGTGAGAAGGAGAACAACAAGAAGGCCTGCCTGATGATCCTCCAGAAGGTGGTGGACGACCCTCAGTCCGGCTCGTGCCCCAACGTGTCGTACGCGGACGTGGCCGGGCCCGTGGCCAACTACAACCCCACCGGCTCGCCGTACGCCGTGCCCACCACTGAGGTGACAGAGGTGACCACGGACACGCTGAGGCTCGAGGGATTGATTGGCTTGGGGGGATCGGCGATAACATTATAACATTCATAGATGCTGGCGTGCATTGATAGTAGGGGGTAGAAGGGAGTTGTGGTCCTACAACGGACAGAAAGTTAGCGTAGGTTTTGGGTACATGGAATTAAAACGAAAACTTAATGCTACGTACTTTATTACGATAAATATTGTCATAATGGGCTACATTTAATTAGATTAATGTTAGAATCTAAACACTCTTGATAGTTGACTCGTTCATTGTCGCAAATTCATCGTACAAAAAAATTAATGAGTACAAGTAGGTGGAGCAACTTATTGACCAGAACACTACATGTAGCTGGCCATCGGCCAACACTGACACCATGTTTCACACTCCATCGAGGGTCCATCGCTTGTGACCGATAAACTGAATTAGAACCTATTATCTAACCCTAGAGTGTATTTCACCTTGACACGCTCCACCACAGCAGCGATGTGCTCGTAGCGGTTTAGTTGAACGTAATTTATGATTACGTTTACTGTTACGTAAATCCTTGTGACAGTCCGTTGACGTTTAGTGTCTGAGTGTGTAGTGTCAGCTTATAAATTACCACTTGTCAGAATGGAACCGTTTACTATTATGGAAAACTTAATTACACTCGCTTTTATTTGCTGTTTATGTAAATTTAAACATCGATTCAACTAATTACCCTATTTCCAATAAAAATAATAGGAAACTTTCTCAAGAGGGGGGGGTCGAATATAGAAATCTTAAAGATTTTTACTGATGTGTCACGCCAGGCTGTCGTTATAAACTGATGGCAGAATAATATAATTTAAATCAAAATTCTAAAAAAAAATACTCTAAAATTAGGTGTCTGATAAATATACTCTTTCTGGAGTATAGACACCGTGACAGAGCCTCGGCGTGTAGAGAAACAGTCGAGCGTGTTAAAGAGTCCACCTGGAGGAAGACTGGGGAGGGGGGTTACATGTTATAGACATACAGTTACACCTGATGATATATACTGAACCCCCGTAGAGGATATACTGCGTTAGGGACACATTGTATTGGATTTGTGGTGGGAGCACGAAGATAACGATCCACTTGTAACGTTCCAGAGTCACGCTCTCGTGGGTGGCGGGTCTGTGGGCGGCGTGGGCGGTGCGGGCGCTCTCGGCGGCGTGGGCGGTGTGGGCGGCGTGCTCGTGAACGGCTCCGGCCTGGGCTCGCTGTCCCTGTCTCTGTCGCTGGCACCGCCCGGCACCCCGCCGCCGTCCCCGCTCACACAGCACACGCTCGACCACATCAAGGTGACGTGACCTGACCTCGTTAGGACTAGCAGATCGTGGAGACACTGTAACTGTAAGGTTAATGTCTCGTTACAGGCGGCGCTGCGCCAGGCGGGCTACTCGGAGGCGGGGCTGAGCGAGATCGGCGCGGCGCTGGCTCTGCTGGTGAAGCACGGCGTGCTGGGACTGGCGCTGCCGGCCGCGCTGCCCGCGCCGCTGTCCGCCGCCTACTTCCCGCTGCAGCCCAGCGACTCGCCCGCCGTGTTCGGGCCGCTGGCGCAGGTCCAGCTCGGTACGTACTGTGACACCCTCACGGCCGGGGGCCGGCTCACGGACGGCTGGCCCTAGGATAACATTAAACAAGCAGACATCACGTGTGTTGATCTACTGCAGTAGTATAGTGTAGTGTGTGGACACGTCTCTTGTATGTTTGTATCTGTGACTGCATGCCCGATATAAAGTATTGCTGATTATTTTCAACACCTATTGGCTTCTTAAACGTAGATATTTTTCACATTAAATCTCTTCAAAATTTCTTAAAGCATCGCTTTATTTCATATCATCTATCGGCAATACATCTGATACCGGACCAGTGGATGACGGTCTACCCTCACCCTCTCGCATCTTGTTCCTCTCTCGTTCAGTTGAAGTATCTTACAAACCGCATACGAGAGCCTGTTCACCTTAGAGCCTGTTCAGAAAACGCGATTTACGAGCGAGTAAACTTTGATACGGAACTTTTTAGTAACGAAATTGAGAAAAGGGTAGCAATATGGATTCGTTAGATTATTCTAATAGAACTATTAAGCGTAGGAACTGTTAATAACGAGCCACAATATAACGGCAGTATCCGAGTCCATTTTTAAACGGTTTTATTTAGCTCACCCCGCTCACCTCACACAATTTAAATTTCACCCTCAAGATGGCCGCTGCTACAAAATATCAAATGAAAGTGCTCAACCAGTAGAATACAATGTACTATATAAAATTAAAATCCAATATGGCGGCATATAGAAAATGGCGGATAACTTAGGTTTCATCACTACCATCACATGGATATCAAATGAAATGTCTCAACAAGTAGAATAGAAACTTTTCAATAATGAAGCACTAAATAAATTACACAGAATGCGAAATAAAAACTAGAAAATTAAAATAGGTAAAAAAATGTTTAAGTTAAACGGCTTTACATGAAATATACATTGCAATGTTTAAGATAAATGTATACATTGCAATGTTTAAGATAAATGTACTAAAAACCAAAAAATAATACATACAATACATTCACACTGCTGGCTGATGAGGAATCATTTCACTGATCTTTAATCGACAAAACATATGATAAAAGTACTACTCGCTCACCACTATGAAACCCTCAAACTCACTTCATCGTTGTCGGTTGAACAACTGCCTAATTATAGTGTAACATTACCGAACAAACATTTTAATCAACGATTGTAGACAATTGACGTGCCCCACGCTTTTATTTTAGTCTAGTCTGTGCATATGTTTATAATTCCCACGACTGTATCTATTTTATTATTTTTAGGTTTTTAGTACATTTACCATAAACATTGCAATGTATTTTTATCGTAAAACCGTTTAACTTAAAAAGTTTTTTTACCAATTTTTTTATAACTGACCAAATCCGTCTCATCACATACGCGCGTGATTTCCCCGCATCTGAACACAATATAAATCAAAACTCGCGAGTTGACTCGCGCGTAACTCACGCTTTCCGGACAGGCTCTTGGTTCAGTAGTTGGTTGTTGTCGCGCGTCATCCACTGCTCCTCCCAGAGTGTCCGAGGCCGCGCGTCTCGTTCGTTCTGAATGTATTGTGACCGCATCAGCGCTGCCGACATCTTGGCGACTCCAAATTATCATCACGAGACGTTCATCCGAGGGTTATGCTGGTGTACGCTTTGATGACATTTCCTTTTTTTTTGCAACTAATCACCGGATTCGGCCTATATTAGACTTACTAGACCCTAGGTATCGGCTCACCTCGATACATTAGATCGTTGTATATTTTTCAAAATTGTGTTCATGTTTATTTCTTTTATATTATTACTATTGCTGATACAAAATTACACATCCCTTGTACCGTCGCCATGTGTCCCTGTGACGACTGACACACGGACGTTTGATACATGAGTATACTGAAAGCTACTGAACGGGGAGTGAAGCAAGTGCATCGGCATCACCCCGCGGCTCGCGACCCATTGGCACGTAGCGAGGGGTGGAGGGGTGGTGTAGGGGGGTGGGGACAGCGCTGTGCGGCGTCGGCTGCGGCGGCGGCGGGCGCTAATGTGTTTGTGTCCGCAACAGCGCGAAACGTTCTAATGTAAGCGAGCGTGCGGGCGAGTGGCGAGTGCGCTCGGCCCATCAGTGACGCGTCCGCAGGCGGCGCGCGCGGCGGCTCGTTAGAGCGTTTCGCGGAGGTTGCATTCGAGGCGCTTCGCCCCCCAGCCGTGGCTCCCATCTCGCTGTCGGGCGGCGTGGGGGGAGTGGGGGGCGTGCCCGGCTTCCCCTCCGCCAGCCTGCTGCCGCTCTCCAAGAGCCCCACGCCCGCCGACGCGGGCGCCAAGGACTCGAAGAACGTCGAGATCCCGGAGGTCATCGTCGGGGCCATCCTGGGTGAGAGTCCAACGATCTTATTAAATGTATTGAGTGTGTGAGGGTGGTCATGTCAACGAGTCCCTGTCCCCGCAGGCCCCGGCGGCCGCAGCCTGGTGGAGATCCAGCAGATGTCGGGCGCCAACATCCAGATCTCCAAGAAGGGCACGTTCGCGCCGGGCACGCGCAACCGCATCGTGACCATCTCGGGCACGGCCACCGCCATCAGTAACGCGCATTACCTCATCGAGCAGAAGATCCAGGAGGAGGAGCTCAAGCGCACGCGCCACAACGCGCTCTCCGGCCTCATGCAGTAGCGCGCCGGGCCCCCCCAGGCCCCGCCGGGCCCCCCCAGGCCCCGCCGGGCCCCGCCGCCCTCTAGTCAGCGTCTCCGAGCAGCTCGCCCGCCCCGCCGGCGGCCTCGTTGTTAATGATACGATTGTGATATCTCCTGTCACGGAAATTCCTATTCCATACACGTTTTTATATTTTTTTTATCGTTCACCGAGCACATGTTATTATTTACGATGTTGATTTCATTGTGAATGTTACCATTGATTAGTTATTTTTTTTTGTTAGTTTATTGCAAGTTTTAGATTTTAATGTGAATTTAATAATAGAGTCGGCGTCCCCGGGTGTCGCCCGCGTGTGCGTGCGCCCCTCGGTACAAAGTACACACACACACACACGCGCGCGCACTCACACGCGGACGACGTTAGCCAAGTAATATATTAACCAAAGTTGGTATTTAATTTTTAATTTTCTGACATGAAATTTTATTTTATATAAAGTGCAATGCAATATTATTCGTTGAATATTATTATTATTATATATTTTTTAATAATGACGTCACGCGACTCGGATTTTAGTGAAAAATGTTTTTTTTTCCATTCCTTTTCTCGCGTTAAAGATCTTTATTTTTTATACGTTTATAATGTTCGGTAGTCGTCGGTCTAACGGTCATCGTGTTAACTCGTAAGTACAAGTTTAATAATAATGCATGTCCATAATAGTAGATGAAGTTATATGTATATTTTAAAAGTTTTAAATGCAGATTTCTATATATTATTCGAGAAGACAATATTAAATATTCTTATTTACGGTTACGGTCTCGTAACGCGCCAGTGTCGTGAAACTCGAGCGCGGCCCGGGGCTGCGGGGCGGCGAGGGAGCCCCGGGCCTGCGCCCCCGGGCCGCGCGGTGTTCGGCCGATCGCTTACCTCAGAAGTGCCATGTAGATAGCGGCCGGCCAGTGCGGCCCGCTCGCGTCATGGAGCGAGGGTAGGACGGAGTTGGTTCGGTCGATCATACACATATGATATATATATTAGTTGGGGACCGCGCTGTGGTATTGTTAGGTCTCCCTACGCGTGTTATGTAGGTGAGGGCGTCGTAGTTTCATTCTAATAGCTAGTTGGTAGTCTATATTCAATCTCTAATGTATTATAGGTACGCTGTTTCCAGTCTCTGGTGTCTTTTCCACTCTCTCGTCTTATTGTAATGGGGATATTGTGTCAATTAAACGGGACGTCACACGCTCGGCCGGCCCGGCGTCCCGGGACGGTCCCGTGTGGCGTCCCGCCCGAGGGCTGTGCCCGGCGCGTATTGCCTGCCGTCGTGTCGATTTTACTAGCTCAATTTTATTGGAACTATTCTCTATTAGTCCGTACGTGTAAGTGAATACGTCAATTATATGAAAAAAGAAATGACGGCGATCAGACGGTATGGAAAATGTACATACTCGTTGGAGTTAAAATAGAATAATTATGTATGGATGATGTATCGGCGACACGTGGATGTGACCCGGACACGTGCTCTCCCCCCTCACTCTCCTCACCCCTCCACCGCTCGGTCCGTGTCCCCGCCCCCCGGGACTCCGTCTCGTCTCGTCTCTTTTCGTCGTGTGTCGACTTGTTCTTTACAATGTGTCTCTGCCCATCGTTAAACATTCCATCTCATGTTCCTCTTCTCTTCCGTCGACGTGTTTTCAAAACATTAAAGCTTTACGGTTCCCTCAGGTTGTTGATTTGTTCTATATGTGTGACGGCTCCGGGTGTATCGTGTACATCGTTTCATCTTAAGAGGGTGCATGTCTCGTGAGGTGTCACTCTCGTAGGTTACGTCACGCTAGGGACACTGTAAAGAACATTTCTAAAGTTAAAGTTATAGTTAGTTAAAGATTACTATTATCGAATAATATGATGAAACAGTACAGCGGCCAGCGGGGTGTGTAGATAAATTAATATAATATACTGGAAACAAATGTTAATGTTGTTATACCGAAGTTGTTACAATATTTGAGAGTATATTATTAATAACGAAATAATATATGTTAGTGAGGTAATAAATAGGAACGGAAAGAAAGTCTATCGCGCGGAGAGATTACGAACGGGGAAGCGCCATCTCCGAGGAAGGAGGCTGGTCACGACTCACTTCACTCTACTACCGGGGCGAAGGCTCCTTTTAATTTTAATAGCTAAATGTTGTTGAATTTGTTGATAGAGTGATTTATTACGATAAGTACGTAGTTAGTCTAGCGGTTACTGGCGAGGAAGGAGCGAGGATCGGTCCCGTGTGTAGGAACATGGCTGTGCGTTCATCTCGAACTCAACATTAGACGGCGCCGCGATGTCCGCGACCCGCGCCCGCACGCGGCTCGGCTCCGGCCCTGCTCGGCTCGGCTCGGCGGCCCTGCTCGGCTCGGCTCGGCCCTGCTCGGCTCGGCTCGGCTACATTCGGCTCTCGGGCCCCGCCACGGCTCGCTATCTGTATATAATTGCATAACATTCGTTTCATTTGTTTTCTCCTTGCTCATTGTCATCAATTTATTAAAGACTGAGGAATCAACTCGCGCATATCGCCACGTCCGCGTCCCAAGCGTTAGGGAGTATTTGTAATATATTGTTTATTGCCATTAAAACGTTCACTCGGTTCATGTGAGCCGCCAGCGGGCCGCGGCCGCGTGCCTCGCGTCCCGTCGCGCCGCGTCGGCGCCGTTCAGTCGTTGTCTCATCAACTTTACACATGTTGAGATTGATATGTTAAACTAATTCTATTGAATTGTACCTTGTTGCGTATTATAAGTGTGTACAAACAGACGACTCGGTACGTCATTTGTTGCTGTACAGATTCAACGATGGAATTATTATATTTTATTGTTTTGTTGATTTGGTTTCCTGTAAACGGGTCTGTAAATGTTATGTACGACGTACGACATATATTATATTATATATATTAAGTTGAAAATGCAATGTTATGAATTTTAAAGTTGGCTATCTCATAGTCAAAGATGGATCGTTTAGTTGGTTATATTGTGAAATTGATTTTCTATTAACGGTTATTCGCAATATTGTAAATGGTAAGAGGTAAATACGATGGTTACAATGTCTTAGTGTTTAAACTCGGAAACATTGAACATTGTCTGTAATTATTATATTAACATTAATAAATGCAAAATATTATGACACTGTTTTTATTTATACCTACACCTCAACCCAGCACAAAGTAGGTACGCTCCAGTACTAGTAATGGAAAATACTATCACGAAGCAGAATTTTGATTGTGTCTCGCCATCTAATGAATATACTAATGGTTGTCCATGGAATACAAATTTATCAAGTTCATTAAATATTGTACTCTCTCTTTGATAATGACAAATTGAGGTGTTCTATCTGTTATACGGTATACCTTATGGTTAAGTTAAATTGGTCCTATGTCGATGACTTAAACTTTAGTAAGAATAAAAGAAAAGGTAAATTTATTTGATAAAATTTCTTTTATAATTCTTGTAAAACTCAACACGTTTAAAAAATATATATGTACATATCTAAATGCCACTTCGATTAATATCAACAGTATTAAATGTCAACTTAGGTTCAACTTTGGAAATAAATGAAAAACATATATAGCTTATAAAAATTTATTAGTCATGTAAATGCTAAATAACTAAAATGAGATTCATATAAAAATATAAATGGACGGACTGACGACATTAAGTGTAAACAAAATTAAATAAAAATAAATTAAGTACAAAACAAAATAATTATGGAATGTCTGGAACATCATGGAAACACTCAAAAATATCACTTTGAGCACTGAGTCTTGTTGTAAAAAAAGGCATACATATAATAAAAAAAATATCCATGTAGGTATATGTATATACATAGCTTATGTTACTCTTATTTGGTATATTATATATTTAACGACAAATATATTGCTTGTTACACAGCTTCAGGTATCTTAATTACTCTCAGAAGCAAAGCTGAAAGCTCAATTTTAATACATATTTTTTTAAGATTTCATTACAATTTGTATTCTATAGTAAATTGATAAGATTAGCTATACAATATATTATTGTTAATGGTAGAGTATGGGTTGTACGTGTCATCCATACATAATGATTGGCAGTTGAATACAGATCTTTGGATTTAATATATCTATACACTACATGCTGCTAAAACTAGCTGGGAACTTAAAAATATTGCTATTATATAGTAGATGCATGTTTAAACATTTTGAGTTAGTATTTTGTTATGTTACATATTTATAAGGGACATTATCTAAATCTGGAAGCTGCTGCATCATCAGTATGGTTGAAAGGCTAGGGCGTCTCAATCTCATACTGTGGCACATAAGGTTCATAGTTAAAGCCGTTATAGTGAGTGAAGCTAAGGCTGCAGGTGCCCGGGCTCTCGGCTAGTGGCAGCAATTCATTCAATAGAGAAGTAAAAGATGGTCTCTCATCCGGGTCCACCTGCCAACATTGAAGACATAGTTGGAAAAGCTCATCCCCAACATAGGAAGGCTGAGAAGGTCTCATGCCCCTTATAATCCTAGCTGCCACTTCTTTATTAGCTGAATGGGAATATGGTGTGGCTCCTATGGTGAAAACCTCCCACATGAGGACACCGTAAGACCAGATGTCGGCTTTGGGATTGAACCTTGTCTGTTTTAGCATTTCATGGGAGGTCCAGCGAGTGTAGTCTGGGGTCTCATGGAGAGGCCTGATGTGGGAAAGACCGAACCCTGAAACCTTGGTTACACCAGATTCACTTATAGCTATGTTACGGCAACTTAGTCTTTTGTGTACTATCTTTTTACTATGCAAATATTCCATTCCACAAGCCACATCCATACAAATTTGTAGAGCCTTGTTCTCTGTTATGAGACAGAATTTATTATTTTTGAGATCCCTTTGCCTGCTCTGAAGCAACATTTCTTTAAGAGACGTTTTGGTATCCTGCAGAACCACAAATAATGTGGTGCTCGTCTCACAAATGCCAATAAGTGATACAATATTTTCATGTTCACAAGATTTAATAAGTAAGTCAAGTTCTTGAAGCATCACTCTCTTCTCTGCTTTCTCAAGTTCTCTATCATTGATCACTTGAACTAAGCCACCCGTTTGTGCGCCGTGTTGCTGTACCTTGCCTTTAGTGAATTTCCCGTAGCTTCCTAAGCCCACAACACATGAGATGTCTATATCTATGAGGTTTCTTGGTATATTCCACAGCTTACGTTTCAAATTGCCGTAATAGTCCACTCTCTCATCTTCATCCTGTAAGAATCCTGCATTTTCAATTTCCAAGCATGGTTCACTGAGATTCAAAGGCATCGATTGTGAGCCTCTTTGCATTCTACTAATGTGGATCTTCTTGCGTAGAACAATCAGGGCTCCAATTCCTATGAGCAGGAGCACTACTCCTATTGCAATACCAGCCCCAAGCCCCACCACCAGTGGTGACACTACCTCAGGTTCATTAATGTTTAATATAATTTTCTTAGTGGACTCGGCATACCTTACTTTAGTCACATAATTTTTCTTACTAACAACTCCTATGGACACTTCTATATCATTTGTTAAGAGTAAAGGTGCATTATAGTAACCATTATATGTTGATCTGTCACCAATAATGAAATCATTTTTAATTTCTTCAGGATCTAGTTCAGCAGTGATATAGTAAGGATAATCTTCCTTAGTGGCGAATGAATAGTTTCCTAGATTTTCAGTTATAAAGCCTTGTTGATAGAGTTCAATAGACACAACTACTCTGTACCTAGATATAGGTCCATTAACATTTTTGGCCTCTGGAATGTGTACTAACATTTGATCTCCGTGCCTTTCTTTAATTATAATGTCAGGCGGGCTGGGATCCGGAGTACCAATTATAGTTTCAGCCTTAGTAGTGACATTGGGCCCTTCCTCTTCATAGTTTGTAGCAGCTACACTGATATTATATACAGACCCTGGCTGGAGATTGGGTAACTCTGTTTGAAGTGTATCATTGGCAACTCTCCACTCTAGGGGCATTAATAAGAAGTCAGCATATGTTTCAACAATTATTGCTCTGATGACATAACCATCGATCCTTGTGAATGCTTGTGGAGGACTCCATCGAACACGGACTGTAGTTTCTGTTATATTAGAAATAGAGATAGACATGGGAGGCCCGGGTTTGGTCACCTCGGTATCGTAAACGCTTACGGCGATTTCACTTCCACATTTTTGAGTTTCATTTTTAGGGCAAGGTGTAATACAAGAATCTAAGCCGAGTTTAAATTGGCCAGGTTCGTTACCACAGTAACAAGTGGAACCGTTGCCGATGAGTGCATACTTATAATAAACTTGTTCGCACGCTGAAAGACAGACATCTACAGACTGTCCTGTATGAGTGTTTAATACGTCCTCTTTGAGCTTGTAACAGCCTATGTAATCACCGCGATCCGTCATACCATATTTTATGAACAGAAATATAACCATCGCAGCAATTAAAGTCGGGCGTTCCATTGTTTATTCTCTTCACTGACTCATACCACTTCAGTCGCATACGAATTTAATATCGTGTACATTATTAGACAATAACTAAATAAGTTTACAAATGTACATTGTAACACACGAATGTTTAAACTTAAGTTATTTTTATAATTATAATTGATAAGTATTCAATGCGGAACTAAGTCTCACTCGTTTCGGTTATTTATTTTGACTTTTCGGTCCAGTTGTTAAATCGATAGATACGCCATCTGTAGTTTCCGCATGGTGCTTGTATGACATCTGGATGTGAGAAATTAGAAAACGAATAACTAAACATCAAGTATGAGAATAAATTATAGTTATAAAATAATTCAAGAAATTTATTGTTTAGTTCTGATACTATAATATAAATCATTATATTGTATTCCTTTTTGGTATTTTTATAAAACAATTTTTTTTAAGTTAATATTTATGGATTGTTATTCTTAATATTTACTTTTTCATATATGTTTTTATTTCAATAACCAAAAGAAAACCTGTAAAATATCTGTTTAATACTTAATACTCTTACGTTATGGCATCCCTATTTCGTATTGTAAACAAGCATCTGACATTTGGTTTCAAATTCAAATCGTTATAAACGGACTCTATGAGAAGTCAGAAGTAACATTAAAAAGATAAACACCATACATAATACGATTGGTATGGGAATTTAAATATACAGTTTGAAATCTCTCTGTTATTTAGAAGATGTCTACCAGATCGGGGAAACGTGAGTATGATAAAACATTCAATGAGTACATAATAAATGTCTTTGTATGCCTATTGCTCTGTTGATATCTTATTCCGTTAATTGTATTATAATTAGGAACTAATTTTTGTAAATTTACCAGGTATTCATTCTTCAGACATAGAAAATGTAGAAAAGATCGTAGAATTACAAACTGTGCGGAAAACGCGAAGTAAAAAACAAAAAGAGAACAATGATGAAGTAGCTACAGCGAAAAAGAAGAAAAACTTCGTGAGACGTCCTTCAGGTGATGAGACAGAAAGCTTAAATGATAAAACGGAGCTTGTTAGTAAGGGTTCGAGGAAATCGAGACGGAACACACTCAAAGAACTTAATGTTGTCGACAACGACTCTGAGATACTAAATGATAAAACATCTATGAGACACTCAAGAAGAATCAGGAAAGAAGATGCTGAACCTACTAACATACTTGTGGAAGAAGACATTAAGAGTAAGGAGAAGAAAAAATCAAAAAAGAAAAAAGTCATTGTGACCGAGAACACAGAGATTGAACCAGAAGCTGTTATCGTTCCAAAGAAAAAAAGTAACAAAAAGAAAAACAAGAATTCAAATTCATTTATTGTTGAAGACTTAGCACTACCTCGGGAGGATATCAGCTTTAACAGAAGCAATGTATCTGTTGATTCATTCCACAGTGCAGCCGGCAGCCCCGACAAGTATACATTGGATAATGATGCTAAGAATGACGACACTAGACATAAGAGGAGAGAGAGAAAAATAAGTAGCTCTACAACATGTGACAATACTATTAATGAGAATAATAAAGGAAAAAAGAAAAATAAAAAGATAGAAAAAGATAAGGCTGAGAAATTAGGTTTCAAAGAAACATCATTCGAAGAAGTTGACAGTAAATCTGAGCCGATCAATGCTAAAATTGAAATGTCCTCTGATAATAAAAACGGTGAAACATTAAAAACAAAATCAAAGAAGAAGAAAAAGTGTAAAGAAAATAATTGTTTAAATGATGTAAATACAAATAATACTTCTGATAACATTGGTGTTGATCTTAAGAGTCCCTTGGAATGTGAACTACCTGGATCTCTAAATAGTTCAGTTAAAGCCAGTCCTCACACCAGATGGAACGGAATTGCAATAAGTGATGTTAATGATATTGCCGCCGCTTCTTATATGCCTGATGAGAATTGTGTTAAGAGTACTCCTGACAAGTCAACACCTAATAATAGTTCAAAAAAAAGAAGGAAGTCTCATTGTAAAATATCAAGTAGTACTGAAATCAACACATCCACAACAGTGTTGAATACATCCTATAATGTTAATGATTGCAACATGAGCCAACCAACAAATAAAAAGGAGATGAGAAAAAGTGTTGATAAAAATTCAACATATGACAACATAATGTTGTCCGAGACAGACATTCATAACACAAGTGAGAGAGACTGTGACAATAATACAAGAAGCGTTGAGAAGAAATCTCCGAAGAATAGAAGAACATCACAAAGAAGATCCAGCATCCAAAATAATACATACGATAAGACTGATGACAAAGTTATCAACTTGAATGCAACATTTGACAAGGAAATTACAGAAAATACAAGCAACTCATCAACCTACGTTGGCAGAAAATCTAGATCATCCAAATTTTCTCTAGAAAAATGTGACACCTCCACAGTTTTGAATGGCACTTATGATAAGAGTGTAGAAATCACTTCAACTCTCAACAATACTTTTGATAAGCCAAAGCTAGATGCGACTTTTGAATGTACCGATGATAAGAAACACATAGAACCGAGGACCTCCTCCATTATAAGTTCAGACAACACAAACATGACCTCCGACATGTCTGAAGACTGCTCCCGAATCAGCATTACTAGTGATGACTCCAGGACTGAAAACATCGTTAATACAACTCCGCTCTTGATAGAAAGCAGTATGGAGGAATCTCGTATTAATAAAACTGTTACACCACTGAAAGATGAGGCCAGTGAGGTGAAGAACACTCCGGATAAACAATCTACAGAACATAGTAACATGACACCGCTCAAACGAGACGGTACCTATACTGACTTGAAGAAAACACCGCTGAAACGACAGGGAACATTCACAGAGGAGCCAAAACCAGAGGCAGCTGTGGTGACTCCAGTGACGCCTCTCAAACGTGAAGGAACATTCACCAAGGACAGTCCTTCCAGGTCGCCGAAGGTCTCAAATAAAACTCCTACACGACGTAAATCGATGCCTTCTCCCGGACGCACGCCTTTCCCTTTCTCCAAAAGCAATTCCAAGGAGAAAAGCATGTTGAACATCACGCATTCCATAGAAAAACCCAAACGTCGTTCATCAGTGGCGGCGGCCGCTCCTCGACTCACCAGAGTGATGTTCTGCAGCCCCGTCGATAACCCTGCCGCGACGACGCTCGTGAAGGGGAAGGTTATCAAGTCCAACTTGAAGGGATCTAACAAGAGCTTCGTGTTTGAGGAGAGCGGTGAGGATACATTCTAATAATATAAGGTTTAAAGAAGTTTATTTTCCAAAAAGAACAAAGTTCGCTTACAAAAAAAAATTAAAAAATTATAACTACAATTAAAATTACAAATAATAAACAGTAGTGATATTAAACAAGATCAGTGAAATCATCTTATATATGGGTTCTTAATCGTTTTTTAAATATATTTAGAGATTTTGAATTGACAACATTTAAAGGCAAAGAATTATATGAGTTATAATATGATACATTAATACTTTAAATCATTGTCAAAATTCATAATTGTAATATTTCATGATGACTTATCAGGTCGTCTGTTATTTTTCCAGTGTGCGAGTCACCCGGCGTTGCTCGCAAGCGGTCCTTGACTCATGGCAGCGAGGTGGGCGAGGCCAAGCGAGCTCGACTGACCACCGGCAGCCAGCAGAGGGCGCGGACCACGAGCGCGACAGGTGAGGCTCACTTAAAACAAATAGCTTTGTCTGTCACTGTCTGTATATGTAATGAAAGTCCACCTTGGACACAGTAGAACGTGAGTTTCATCATAACAAAGCAAGATGTATGTACCCAGCAACACATTTGAAATGAATATATAGGATTTAAAAAAATACCTAGGTCAACATTTTCTAAAATTATTTGTTAAAAAATCTGTTTGTGTAATGAGCATGGACCAAGCCTTGTTAAACCAGTTCATACAAGATTTGATTAGAACATATTTCTGTAATAATATGTATATAATGTTACACTCATATAATTCCAGCGAGACTCCAGGACCCGGGCACTCCGAAGAAAGACGTCACTCCATCCAAGTCCAAGCCGCCCCGCACTAAACTGCCGAACTTCGCCGCCCTTCATCAGAAACACTTCGGCAAGATGGAGTCACTGGACGAGTGTCAGGAACGGAAGGCTCGACGGGCGAAGCAGCTGTTGACGCCCAAACACACACACACACACGGACACTACCAGCCCTAAGGGTGAATATTAATAGATTATAACTAGCGGGGATGTGATATAGAGATGATATAAGGCTGATCTGTCGACTACCATTTATTTTACCTTAAAACTATTACAATAATATTGATAGATAAAAGTACCAGCTATAGTTCCTGGTCACTATGTATGCAATATCGTTATATATGTAGAACTACAGAGATTTCTGGAATAAATAATCAGTATCGGCGAATTCGGACTGAGTCATAAAGACAATAGATGTGGTAGAAAGTAGTGAGAAATGAACTGGTTATGTTTATATTACGTAGGCATATGTTATTTTATTAGTGTGTAATAACTATCAGCTGTCGTTAGGCGTAAGTGTCATGACTGAAGTATGTAATACTCTCATTCACCAATTTATTGCCGTCCGTAGTGATGGGATAGCTACAAGAATAATGATCTAAAATCATTATCTAACTTCACGTTTGAACTGAGCGCTCCTCGTCTATGATTTTAATAAAACTCTTTTGTTAAAATTAGATGCGTCGTAAAGATATTGAAGTTGTTGAAGCTTCCCACAAAACAGATAACAATTTGCCCTTTTTTATTAGTTTTGAAAACTAGCTTAATTTAAAATTGCGAAAAATAATTATTCTATGATAAATCACGTTACTTTATCCCTTAAAATTAATTATTGTTAGATATTTCATGTCAAACACACTCTGTAAAAAATATAATTTGGTGCTGGTGCAAAGTAAACAAAAATTTTAAATATAATGTATAGTATCCTACATATGTTGGTCATACATCCAACATAATTTTTGTCTCTTATAATATTCTTTATTTTTGTCTTCAACTTATTTTATTTACTTTATTCATCCAAATATCTCGTGCCGTCGTCTGAACGTGTTATCGTCACTTCCCTTTCTTATATACCAACTCCTTTTAACATTTAATCCCATACATTTCTTATAACTTCTACCTTTATATAATGTATAATATATATTTTAATTCAACAGTATATGTTTAAAGTTAGTATATAAGGATCGTCCCTCTCGTTTCCGTTGTACCAATGACATTGATAACTCGTGGCTTGAGAATTATGGCGGGAACTGACTACACGAGATAAATAATAAATATGAGAGGTCAAGTTTAATGTAAATAAACGTAGATTTTACTCCACCCAAACATTTATTATATGATAATTAATCGTATCGGCTAATCATTATAAAAAATAACTACTTTCAAACAATATTTTTTATCTCTATGACGACGTATCATAATATTTATAATCATTATAGCAGGTGGTATAAAAAGATAAGAGAAGGAAAAATCATACATGTTTGTAATATTTAGTACTAGTAGGTGTATTTCCAAATAAGTACCTAGATGCTAGTAGTTAAGAAACTATCATTAAATTTTTGATTATATGTACATATAGATGACTGTTACAGCGTGGTCTGTTCTATTGATAGTGATGAAAATTAAAACAATAAAATCAAGACTATTTTATACTCAAATCATATAAAGGTTGTAACGCAAAGATAATTCTAATATAATAATAGTTCACATCCTCTTAATACACAGTTCATGTGCAGATACATTATATATTCTGTGTTTATTAAACTCCATAAATCATATCATTAATATTATTATCATATCTCGTTAATATTCCCGGCCGCCTGTCGCGTGTCGCGAGTAACGTCACCTGTCATAAGTCACGTTTAGAGATCGATAATATTTTCGTTATAATGAAGTGACGTCATCGGCGTGTCACCTGGGAACGTAGGAGACGATGGGTTCGTACATGCTGTATATTCCAGTCTAATTATTTTTTTCCCTTTTGAATGACATATAAATAATTTTATTGTTGACGTGAGTTACTCAGTAAATTTCTCTTTTAAAAGTACTTTTAAAAAATCTGATATTTTTTTCCATAATTAAATCAATATGTTTATCATTCCTTAATATTTATGTCTTCAAATCTTCTAGTTGATAGGTTTCATCAATTTCATCATGATGAGTACATCATCAGTCTCGCTCTATCCCAAATGTCCATTTTATTTTAGGTTTTTCATTTCAGACAATAAGACGTAATGATTATATATTTTTTATCTACAATAGTATAAAATAAAAAATAATCACAGTTTATGTAGAATTTAAATATTTGTTCAAGTTAACAAAATAGATACTAGAACTATATGTAATGAGGAGTTTTAAAATTAAAATAACATAGTTGTGTACATAAGTAATAGGAAATTTTGTAACAAACCAAGTTTATTACACCCGAGATATGATTATGATACACAATCTATATAATACATCGCGTTATCATGACATACGATAAGTCTATGATTTGTAATTAATATTGCTACCGATCATCGTTCATTTACTTATAACATTATTTAAAATATACAATCAAATACTTTGACCAAAGATATCATGATTTAATGGAGATAAAAAGTATATTCACATGTTTTCATAATTAAAATTATATGTGCGATAAAAATTTCTATTCAATGAATTACGAAAAACATGTATTTTATAATAATACTGATAACTACACAATTGAAAATTTTCATTTCTATCACAAAGACGCCGAATATTTTGTTATCAAGTCGAATCTTACAGAAAAATACATTAACTCATAACAATACCAGTTTTCGTTCTATTGAAGCTCCCTTAATAAAAAAAAAAACGGTGAATAATCAATCGTAGAATTATCGGTGAATATACGTAGACTATAAAATAATACCGTGGCTAACATAGTACTAATAGCTACAGCTATAACTAGATATTTGAATTGCGTCATAAAATTTATAACATTGAAGATTACTATATACATGTATATACATGTTCAAAATATATGAAAAATATTTCATATATTTATTTGATTATAATAAGCATTAAAACAAAGAGGAATAGGACTAGCGGATTCAGTTATCCGGCTTATAGGATACTAGCTTTCTGTCCGCAGCTTCGCCCGCGCGGTTTTCGGTTATATCGCGTTTCCAAGAGAACCTTTCAAAAGTTTGGGATAAAAACTATCCTATGTTCTTCCTCAAGGTCAACTCTATCTCTGTACCAAAAACATTAAAATCAGTGGTTTAGGCGTGAAAGCGTAACAGACAGACAGACTTTCGCATTAATAATATTAGTAGGGATTGTATATATGCCTCGTTTGATGTCAAGTTTCTGAGACTGTTAAACGATTGCTGAATCATTAATAATATTATCAGTTATAATGTATGAGGATTGAGGACTTTTGTAGATCAAAAACAAATGTAAATATATCTTACTATGATGATAGTCAAAATTATAATGTAAGGTTTTCTCAATAGCATAATTTATATGTTTAAAATACGGTTAACAGAAAAACAATTATTAACTATCCTAAGTTTAATTGTAATTAGCTATATTGTGTATCATAATTGTTTATCAAATATAAGTTGAGTATGTTAGTCACAATGAACCCCTCAGGGAGCAGGCCGCTGAGTGACAGGAGTAGGCTGAAGGATCACACGAGACGCTCCAAGTTTATATTGCTCATTAGAATACTAATAACTGTTTAACTACTTGAAAACCTTTGAATATTAAACTTGAATCTTGAAATATTGATCTTAATTCGTCTGACGAGATGACTTTATTGTTGTAAGAAAATTCTATTTACCAATGAAAACATTTTTCTTTTCTACAGACACATCAACCAGCAATAAACCTGAAATGCCAGAAGCAAAAACAATTGAAAAGAAAATGTACACGAAATTCGGTTTCAAACTCAATCCTGATGTGAATCCGTTCAGTATACCTTCGAAGACCATCAAGCCGAAGGATAATATTATCAAGCAAGGTCTCAGAAGACAGGCGACCCTGCCCTCACTGGCGGGGACCACGCTACGGAAGGAAGCTGCCAAGCAGACCGTCATGAGGGAGAAGTCCTTCACTGATAAGAGGGACGAAGCCAGGAGAGAGAACAGAACAGTCATTAAAGGAGTGCGGACAAACAGACGGTTTGAACTACAGATGAAGATGAGGAACATCAACTAATGCAAGTCACTGACGGTGACGCTGCTGGCCAGCACATAGACTAACTTAATCTTTTTCTCTATTCTATATATCTTAATCCATAGACTAACAATTATTATGACATGTGTGAAGGTGGTTTTGTGTTTTATTTACACAGTATATCGTTTAATATAAACAACTCACGTGACTATGTTTTAATGTAGATGTAATCAGTATTAATCTTGTCTCATGACACACGGCGCCGAAATGTTGATTATGTATTTTAATAAATGTGTTTTATATTAAAAATATAGTTGTTTCATTACGATGTAATTAATAAAATGCTTTGCTGGTTTTGAATCAACTGAACTGTTTTATTTCAATTACTCATTCGTTCCTTCAACAGATTATACATTCATTTACTTAGGAATGACCATAGATAGCGCTGCTGGACTAATATCTATATGTTTAGTGCGCTTGTTGTGAAACAATGAATTAGAAGCTAATTTAATCGAGCTTTGATCACTGATAAGGCCATGTATTCTGCTTCTGTACTAGATAGTGCTACAGTTTTCTGTTTCTTAGATTCATAGGACACTACAGAATTTGACATTAGAAAGCAAATCCAGTATATGACCTTCTATCAAGTGAACAAGAAGCCCAATCTGCATCTACAAAGCCATGCATATTACAATTGGTTTTCTTATATACAAGCCATAATCTCTAGTACCTTTCAAATACTTTAATAAACGCCAATGTGTTTCATTGAAACAATTATTGTATTGACTTAAGAAGCTTACACTAAATGCAATGTCTGGTCTGGTAAGTACTGACAAATACATTAAACTACCTATTAATTGTTGGTATGGATAATTTTTATTCAAACTATTATTCATATTCTTTTCCAGCTTCAAATTAATTTCCATAGGAGTATCACAAGATGAGCAATCTGACATATTAAATCTCTTAAGAATAATATCTATATACTGCTTCTGGTCTACAGTAATACTGTCTTTGTACACATTTATATTCATACCAAGTATACCTCGTTTAATATATAAGCCTTAGAACTTTGTTATTACAATTATTAAATTCTGAACATTCTGGTACTTCCATGTACACAGTTTCTTTTTAAAACTCCATTTAGAAAGGCTGTTGGAACATCAAGATGGTTCATACATAAATCTAATTGAACACTTAAAGCTAATAACAATCTAAATGTAGAATATCTTAAAACTGGTGAAAAAGTTTCATCAAAGTCAATACCCTTTTTCTGGGTAAAACCTTTGGCCACAAGCCTGGCCCTGTAGCGCACTTCACCATCACTGTTAAGTTTCTTTTTAAACACCCACTTAGCTTTGACCACAGTTTTGTCTTTTGGCCTATCCACAAGCTCCCAAGTGTCATTATCACTAAAAGATTTTAACTCTTCCCTTATTGCACACTGCCATTGTTCTTTTTCTGAAAATATTTAACACATCACTAATAGTAAGCTCTTCACCCGCTATTTCCACACACATGCTTGCAACATTATAATAGTCTGGTTTGCGTCTCACACGTTTTTCAGTTAGTGTCACATTTGCGTGGGGAGGACATCCAGGTCATCTGGCGATAAAGTATCACAGTAACTATCATCAGTGTCATTAGAAGATTCATTCGGTATGAATGTCTCATCCATCGGGTTGTCACTGGTATCCTGTTCCTCACTAACAGAGTCGTGTTCCTCTTCTGCTTCTTTGGGTGGTCTGCTCTCATCAATAGTGATGGTTGTCGCGGAGCTGTCATCTGTGTTCTCCATGACCACGACATCTCTGGCTGTAATAACATCTCGTGCTTCTGGATCATATAAACGATAGCCCTTGATACTCTCAGAATACCCAACTAGGAACATCTTCTTCGCTTTCTTGTCCCATTTCTTGCGTTTTTCTTTAGGGACATGTACCATGACTGGGCTGCCAAATACACGCAGATGATCCAACTTTGGCTTTCTGCCCATCCATATTTTTCATAAGGAGTTGTCTTGTGACCGATACCTGCAGCTGGTACACGATTTAGTATGTACACTGTCGTATGTACGGCCTCTGCCCACAGGTTCTTCTGAAACTGAGCATCAAATAGGAGACAGCGAGCTTTTTCAACTATGGATCTGTTATATCGTTCACACAAATCCATTCTGCTCCGGGGTGTAACTATTTGTTTTCTCATGTACTATGCCCACACTGCCTTAAGTAGTTCTCCATTTCCTTTGAACAGAATTCACCTCCATTATCAGACCTTAGGATTTTAAATCCGTTTTGACTGTTGAGTCTCCACAAACTGTTTATATTGTTTGAAATATTTAAAGGTTTCATTCTTCTCTCGTAGAAAATAGACAGTGCACATCCTGCTATAGTCATCGACAAATAATAAGAAGTATCTAGCTTTACCTAGTGACACGATCTCCATTGGTCCACATAAGTCTGTATGGACCAAATCCAGGACTCCTCTACTCTTGGTTGCACTGTGAGGAAATGGAAGTCTTGTTTGTTTCCCTTCACAGCAAACTGTGCAACTATTCTTGCTGATGTCACACTTGTCACTGTAGCTAACACCTTCAACTGCTCCATTCTTCAATTTCTGCATATCAGTGGCATTTAAATGTGCAAGTCGCCTGTGCCATGTTGAGCTTGATACATTCACTGATTCTGCAAATGTCACCTCAGTTTTCACATGTAATTTGTATACACCATTTTCCAATGTAGCTACACCAATACATTCATTCTGTAAGTTGTATATTGAACATCCATTTTGGTGAAATTCAACTCTATTCCCGTTGCAATTATTCTACTCACTGATAGTAAATTAGTCGTCAGGTTAGGTACATACAAAACATTGTTCACGATTATGTTTGTGGTTCTGATTACCGACACACGTCGTAATCTCCAAATCCCCTGAACATTCAACAGGCACTATCGTTTTATTCGCCACGATAATCTCCTTAATCTTCGGTTGAAAACAAATATTTGACAGCAAATTCTTGTTGGAAACCAAATGAGTACTTGCGCCGGAATCCAAGTGCCAGTCGGTTTGACTAAATCCTTTTGTGAGAAATACACTAAATGCATTCGTTTTTACTTTTTCTGTGTTAATTCACGTGACTATGTTTTAATGTAGATGTAATCAGTATTAATCTCGTCTCATGACACACGGCGCCGAAATGTTGATTATGTAACACATTTACAATACAATAATATCTATTCTTTAATGAACTATGCTTGTATACAGATTTATATAGACACAATAATGTAACAAGGAGCAAAAAAAATTACAATTTGTTTGAATTTTACTTAAAACCAAGTAAAAAAGATACATACTTTTAATTCCGCCTATTTTTTTCAGTTAACAATGCCAAATAAGGAAGTACGTTGAAGGAAATAAAAAAAACTTGTTCGACTACAATCAGATTTATTAATGTTTCAACATAGAAGCACATAATAGTGATGAACCAGTGATTTAAATCGCTGTCGTCTCTTCTATATACAAACCACGAAGAGTTTCGGCGATTTAAATCAATGATTTTACAAATCTCCGTTTCCAATCTACGATCACAGTGTCTCTTTTCTAAGTTAATACACCCTTCCGTGGAATCAGGTTCGAACAGTAACGTGAACTTTGTGTGATAACAGATGTGAAGGAACCGTCGTAAATGTGACTCATAATAATTCAACAATACTGTATTCTCCATTTACAACTTAAATCACAAATATTTCTTTTTATTCAAACCTTGCAAACGTCGTATCACATAAAAACTTGTACTATTATATTAAAATATACCTTTATTCCAATTTAGCAGTATAATACTTTAAATAAAATAAATATCTCACTCGTAAGAAATCTGATAAGTCTACAGTCAACAGTCTAGACTCTAGATGTACAAAATGGCGCTGAAGACGGGACATGTCAACCGGAACGGACATCGAGCGGGAAAAATACAAAACTAGATTACACAGACACAAACAATAGCCGTTTCCTGAAAACAAGTAAATGGTCCCAAATATTATCTCCGTTATATTTAAAATGTTTTTAAAATCCAATTTATTTTAAAGTCCAGTTGACACAAATTATTTCCCGTGTTTTGTGCTTCAATGTTAGTTAATTGACCACACAGTATGCCCGACAATTACCAACCGAGATGGCTACATTTAGAATTATATTCACTAGTCACTATTTATTCGCTAGGCTACATTGGCGATACGAAACTTATTGTAAACTGTCCCCGGGCCACCGAGCTCGGCCCTGGCGAGTGGCGACCAACTACGACGCAGTCTTCTACAATAGTGCACTGCCAACATAAAACAAATTGCAAAAAAAAATCCTTTTAGATATGTCGCACGTAACGTTAACAAAAATACTTTTAGTGCTCTCTTCTGTATCCCTACGTCTACATAGTTTATATTACAAATCTATTCCATACATCTGCTCAGGCACCTATCCTTAGTACATATTAATATAATAAAAGTAGCTTAGGTTTTAGTAATGAATCCCACGAAACATCTCAACACAAATAGAATGTGAACGATTCAACACTTACGGCTAAGAAGAAACAATAATTTTATCTTACAGAATGTATTTACAAAATTAGTTAGGTAATACGAGACACACTTCACAAAATACAGGGCCGGTTCCACACGTTCCCAACGAAAATTATCTAAAGGATACTTGACATTGACAACTCAAAATAAAATATTACATGTGTTATACCACTATTTGAGGACAAACCCTTCATTAATTATTATCAAGAACACATTAGCAACACGTGAAGTCGGCCCTTACAAATTAAAAAAAAATACTTGAGAATGGGACTTCAAGCGAGTTATTCAATATATTTTATAACTAATAATACATTAGGATAAGTTAATTTTACATTTTGTAATTATTTATCGTACAATGTTTAATAGCTTAGTCTAAACAACATAAAAGTACAACTTATAAAACATACAAATCTTAGTCTCCTGTAAAACAATAATAAATTCGCGACATTACATCTCGCAGTCACATAATGACAACTCAAGACAATTAGAAGTGCTCGTCTCTTAAAATCTCATTTCGCATCACACAATAATGGAGTTTCAATTATAACTGATTATAATTTATCATTAAATATTTTAATTAGACAATCTCGAAATCAATGGAAAAAACCAGCACATATATGACATAACTTGACAATGAATTCATCTTGAAAACAAAATATATTATTGTCCTTGGAAACTTGCTTTGCTTTAGTAATCAAATGTTTCGTTTCAATTCTATTAGTGAAATGCTTCAATTCGTTGTTATTAATAACATCACGATTCAGTCATCTGTTCGATCGTATAATTAATGTTGCTAGTAAAATTATTTGTCTCACAATATTTTAGCATAAGCAATAAATTTTAAACACAACCTGAGTTCGTGAACCACGTGGAACCGATAATATGGCATGCTATTGTCTTGTTTAATATTAAAAATCGTTTGTAAGTTACGAGTTATAATAGTAATTATAAGAATACGTACATAAACAGCTGAGACGTAACAGGCTCAAGGTCGTTCATGCTGTGTGAATAATTACGTGCCTCGGCAAATTTTGATAAATTGACAGCGTTACATTCAATTAGCTTAAGTGTATCATTTTTTATATGCTCCTTTGTAAAATTGGAACGTTATTGAATTTGAAACACAATATGTTCTACGGCAGCGTGTTATGGAAAATAGTTATACAAAATCTACTCCAGCCCGCGGCGATGAATGAGAAAAATAAACTATGAATTACAAAGTCAGCGATTGTTCTTAGAGTTGGTTACAAAAAAATGTGAAAAAATTCTAGTTTGTCGTATTTACTGAGAAATAAATGAACAAATGAGGATCTATTTAATACTTATCTTTTGATTTATAAGATAATAATCATGTAACGCCTGAATATAGATGATGGTGATGAATTTAGAAACTCGACACTAGTGTTGGCCGCCGCTGTGGGGTTTGTTGGCGTTACTCAATCTATACAGTATGTGCGCTGGAATATAGATCACTGGCATCATTCCAATTTAATATCAGCTATGAAATATATATCAAAATTTTTGCTTTATTTATTATTTTTTTGCTAGCAGGCGAACAGGTAAATTTAATTATATAATAATAATTTTGTTTGTTCAATAGAAAAAGCTATAAAACGGCAAGTTATTCCTTAGTAATAATATTGATTAGAGAATGAGTCAAATACATTTTCTTATCTTGCTAAAACGTGGCTATTAAAATTGTTTAATACTTTAAACATTCTTAAAGTCAAGTATTGTCAGACGCGGTTTTACTAAGTACAATATTTTTTATTGAGCATATTTATAGATTGTTAAAGCAACATTTTTAAGATAATAATCATACTAGCATTTATTATTAAATAATCTAAGATTACTGCTTTTTTATACAGTAGAATTTTTCTTGTTTTTACAAAAGAATGGTTCCAAAACATTATTGTTCACTTCTACCCCCAAACCTCCCGGAGGGGGAGGCTTTTCAGTTGGAAGAAATGCACTGGAATAATAACAAATGAACTTTCTGACACCCAAGAACAACTTCATCTATCCATTAAGAAGAAATACTCTCACATTTTTTGTTATTCTACCAGTATATAAAACCAGGAATTAATTATTTTAGATAATACGTTAAATATTGTGATCCCTTTGTTTAAATAAAGAGTCAGGTAATAAGGTTTACAAAATCATGACGTCAAAATTATAAATAAGACAAAAATAAAACGAGAATGGAAGTAATTTATAATGAATAAATTTCCAATAAATCATAAGTTTGTTCACGAGCCGGTACGCGGCCACGCGTCGCCATTGCGGCAATAAGGACTGTGTGGGTGACTGACGACTTATGACTATAATAGCTACGTTATTAACTTGTGGAAAGATTAATCAATTAATATTTTTACATGCGCTACAGTTGTTATTTGTATTATGTTGGTAACGCAATTTTATGACAGCATTAATCTATTCTTCGCCATTACATTTGGATATAATATTAAAATTCGTTAGAAAAAAGAAGTTATGTGAATCACAATGTCATTTTTAATCTGTCCGTGACAGTAGCTCAACCAAATCGAAACTAACGAAAACAATGTTCAAGTCATCAGAAGCGACTTAACTTATTCGTACCCACAGCAAAAACAGAAATGAGTTAATTTGAAATTTCATATGTATTGTGTGAATTTTTATATTTTTTTAATTAAACGTGATTATTTTCACATAGATAATGTATGGACTATACGCTAGCATCTCGAATGATGATTTTGCTTTTTATTTAAATTCCTTCCTTTGCTGTAAAACCGGTTTGGAACAAATACGCAAATATGTTGTTTCAACTCGTAGGGTGCAATGACTTCATGAAATGATGAAACAAATATATATGAACGAAAATAACATTATTTTTTCTAAAACAATATCAGTTAGCCAGTGTGTTGACATTGGCATAACGAGTTTTAAATAAGGATGAGGTCACAACTGTCTCGTATTACGAAATTGACATCATCTGTGGCACTCGATACTGTCTTATAAAGTTGACTTTAGACAAGTCACTAGTCACTATCAAGTATTATCTTTACCGATAAATGTTTCTATTTCTACAATCGGTTTTCAAGTTAAAACTAAAACAGTTAGCTAATATTTCATTTTAAATGAAATGGATAGAATAACCTTGCAAATATATTTCCATAGTGGCGACCGATTTACTGTTTACATATTCGCGTCAGGCACTGACAGTGACGAGGGCCGCTCGGACCGTCGATCGAAACTGAATCTACCTCCAGATTTTATTTTACTTTTCATTCTATTTCTATAGTTTTGTAGTTCTCATTAAAAACATAAATTACGTTGAAATTTTCCGTTATATCTATGATTAAAATCTTCCATATTGTTATGATTACTTTTATACAAAAAAAGAACTTTAATGAATAATTTTATAACTGATATTTTTAATTTGGTGTTTATGAGGCAGTTTTAATTATATATGAAGTGTTACTAAGGTCAGAATCTGAAGGATTCTCAACATTTTCAAACGTATAAAACAATTGAAGTGTTGGTTCTTTTTATTGTATTGTCTGCGTCTATTAAAACGCAAAGCTCTCGTCACGAGAACACTTCGGATAAAATGTCTCGGAGACCGATCCGTAGAAACGAGATATTTGAAATGGTTTGACAGAGAAAATAATACTTTTTATAGTACCTAAATTATATAATGTAGGTTTAATATTTAAATCATTACTTCTTTTAACGCGCCATAAGTGCTACACACTATACTGCGTTTTTAAGCAGTGCGTGAACAATATACTTGATAAAAATAGCATTATAAAATATAAACAATACATGAATCAGTTCTTAACTCGACTCCAGCAAAGAACAGAGATGATGATCAAACAAATGAATGGAACTATTTATAAGCCACTCGGCGTCACGGGTTGAACGATTTGAAGTAACGAAATGTATCGATTAGATGACTTGAAAAGATTATAAGTTTATTAAAGGTTTTATATGAGAAATACTGGAATCATAAAAAGAAATTAAGAATGAAAATATTGCAAATCGCTTAGAACTTAAATCACTTAGAAACCTTTACGAATAAAAATTATCCAAGATTACTTGAATATTATTATTGATACGTTTTAATTATAAAATAACGGACCTCTATGACAATAGATTTTTTTGACAAAAATATAGTAGAGAGCACCCGCTTTATTATAAAAAATTGTTTCGATATTTTTTTCTTTATCCAGAGAAAGAACACGCTGAAAGAATTTTCCACCTGGCGTTAAACAAATATACGGTTTTTTTCAACGTCTAATGATATCATCGACTGAAAACGAACTAATTGTAAAGTTATTTTATTTTATATCATTCTTTTATATTATTTATGATGACTCGTATCATCGTTGTCGTGTGACTTGAAGTTAAAATAAACAGTGAAAACTACTATTAATTACATTAAATTGAACTATTCGACACAATGCCTTTAAAATTTCAGCAGTACGAAACTAGAAACATGACAAGACAACAATGAAGTGTCATTGAACAATGTCTCAACGTTAGTAACAATAAACACACATTTATATATTTTAAAATACAAATTAAAATAAATAATACACATTTATACTTGTAACGTTTCACTGTAAAGGAAAACTGTGGCTGGTAGTGATGAGTCAGAACATTTATCAATAATTTCATCAGTTAGCACAAATAAGGTCGTATGATAACAGGCTTGAGGCGAGGTAACGCTACTCACTGACTCCACGCGTCATCACACTTCAGGAAGCCGATACAGTTTATAATACAAATATTTAGTTTAATTTAACTATAACTAACTAAACATTACGTAATAAACGTCTGAGAGGACGGTCCGCGCCGGCTGAGACACCGCGTGTCCTAGATTTATGACAACTATCATACTCCTAATAAATACGGTGTCTTTCCCATTATTTCAATCGTCCAAGTAATAAAGCCTGTATAACTATGTTTCATTGTCATATAGCTGAGTAGCGATATAAAATCAATATGGTTACGTCATTATGAGCTGGAGCCGTATTAATAGTAAATTTAATACACATAAATGTGGAAATACTGGAATATATTTTATAGCAAAGATGACGACTGTTTTAAATTAATTTATCAAATACATATATAAAAATTTTGATTAATTACAACACAATAGTCCATAAAATCCCGAGCCAGTTCAGAATAACGATTTAATAATCCAATATTGTCTATAGCATAAAAAAGTTATAAAAAAATCTTTGAAGAATAATTTTAATAAAATTCTTATACACAAAAGACTGTTACATTCCAACTCTATCTGCCCCATTTGCAGTTTAATAAATTTTCTGTCAAGGTGAAGGTCTACACAATCTACTTGGAAAAAGTTAGACAAGACAATACACAATGCACATCAATAGTCAGTGTTGTTGTATTCATGTAATGAAAATATTATTTAGCTACTAGCCTTTAAATAATGCAGCATTTATATTATTTAGATTTTGGTTGTTTTAATGTTATGTGAAAACAAATTAGCTTCTAGTTTTCATTGCAAAGATAAGGAATTAGATTAATGTATTGTAGCAAGGTTCAGTTAAGACCTTATTCATGTGGTCATATTATGTGCAAAGCCTCGGTCCACTGTCAAACAAAGTTATAATTATCCATTATCAAGTTTTCAAACTCATTGTGTGATGCTTGAGTCGGTTATCAAACAGAGGATCATAAGACAACCTAATGATTTTATTTAAATATTACATATATGTACATGCTCTTTGGAGCCAGGAAATTATTACAAAAATAAGTATATAAAAATTAAAAACGTGAGCATTAGGCAGAAACAGATGGTATGCAGGAATGTTGGTGCAATCATTGAAATGGGACTCACTTTGATCACTGAGTTCGCTTTGGTACCTTCGTAAATGCAATCACCTCGGAGCTGTAACATCCACAGCCCTCGCTTCTAAACACTGGCGGCCCTGCCGGCCTTGGCCGCTTGCTAGAGAGCCGCTGATTCAGGAGCCATCAAGGGTGAGAGGGGTCCTGCCACGCGTCGGCCGCGCTCCACTTCGAACCGTAGATCGGGGGAAGACCTTCGAGGTCCCACTGTTCCATCTTCTGGCAGGAAAGCGGCCACAAGCAGTGCACATATAACAAGAAGAGCTCCTAAGACAAATGGTGGGCCGGGCACCAATCGCACATACTTTTCATCGTCCGGTCGAGTATTTATTCCTGGGACAGCGTGTTCTTCATTAAGGTCAACATGGAACAGGTAGAAAATGACACCGAACATAGCCGGCCCGAGGCCATTGCAGAGCCCTCTAACTCCAGTTACCATGCCTTGCACTACACCCTGCCTGTCTGCTCGACTATTTACAGACACATACGCACTGATAGCAGGGTATGTGAGGGAGCCCAATGCGGCGAGGACTCCAGCGGCCCACATCATCCAAGTGCGACTCCCAAATCCATACCACATAAGTTGCATCATTTCAAACAAAAGTCCAAGCATAATAGTGTGCTTTGCACCGAGTGATTTCATTAAAAATCCAAGCACCACTTGCACAGCAATACTGAGTACACCAACTATTGCAATGAAGATGGCCACCTGCACTACACCAAAACCCATCACTAGCTTCAAATATACAAATATGCATGAATACTGTCCGGCTTCTGGCAGATAGGATAGGAACACTGCTACACATAGCATGAGCACCGTGCGCTCCGCACCAACTTTCCTGAGGGCGGCAAACGGGTCTGCTTGCTCCCAGCTTATGTTGGCCCCCCAGCCACTGGGTCGGACTTTCTCAGGAAGACTTTCAGGAACTGCAACCATGATGAAGAACACGTCCAGCACCGCTACCGCAGTGGCCGCCGCGACGACGAGAGCTTCTCCATACAAATCCATAAGGTAAGCTCCTAGCGCAGGTGATATGACCATACTGGCGGCGAAGGTGGCGGACACCAGCCCATAGGCGCGAGACCGCTCAGCCTCGGTGGTGACGTCGGCTACGTAGGCGAATACGATCGAGAAGGTCACAGCAAACACTCCACTTATGCTTATCATCGCAAAGAACCACCATGTGTTAATGGTCATCAGTGGTATGGGTGCACAGGTAAAAAATACTGTTACCAAGAGGAAAAACTTTCTTCCCCACACGTCAGATAAGGCTCCGATAAGAGGAGCGGATAAAAAGGACAAAATTCCCTTTATTCCCATAATAAGCCCATTCATCAAAAACGTATGATCTGGAAACGTGGCGTTCAGGACAGATATTATTGGCATCGTGAGTAGTCCCCACGCGAAGAACTCCAAAAATATGACCACTAAAGCGTGGAACACCGAGGGTTCCCCGATGCCCGACATTGTCATTATCCCGTCTTTCATAACAGTTTTTCTATTCCGTATCACCATTTCTACTTCAGTTTTTGTAGTTTTCGTGGGCGTCATTTAAAATTGAATTCGTTTATAATCCTAATAACTACTTATATTAGATTTAGAGACATATTGAGAAGCCTAAGCACTACATTGATAAAACTTGGTAAAACCGAGCAAGTATCAGCAACGTCAAAAAATCACTGAAATGAAATTGAAAAACAACTCGATATTTGTGTTGCCAGTGAACCAATAGGGTTACGTTATTAACTATTTCAGTTATATGATAATAAAACGTAAATATGAAGGTTTTCCCAATAGAGACGTTAAATGTAAAATGTAAGGTGATGATATAAGTGAATAGTCTTTAAAAATTTAATTTAATTTCATGAAATGGCGCCTAATATTTACAACTACACATACTTTTCACCTTTATTGTTGACACACAATAAAAAATATACAAAGATAAAATTGTAATAGTAAATATATTGAATAAATAACTTTATATTGAAATTTAACTATAGATCCAATTCATTTGACAAATATACTTTTTAATTTCTACTACACAATAAAATCGGATGCGTTTTAAAATCAATGTCAAGTAGTGTCAAAGCGACAAAACTGTTTTAGAAGGAGGCGTTTTCCAAAGGACTAGTCAATTTATCTAAAGCTCATCATTCATCAATAATGGTTAGATTTTTGTCTTTATTACTGTTTTAATCATGTGTTATGAATCAATTATTCCTGTATATTCTTCATTCGCAGATTCGCTTTATTTTAATTCAAAATCGAGCTGGTAAAACTCGGTTGGCGAAATGGTACATGAATTTTGATGATGATGAGAAACAGAAATTAATAGAAGAAGTTCACGCTGTTGTTACAGTCCGTGACGCCAAACACACCAACTTCGTGGAAGTAAGTTTATTGGAATGTTAATTAAGAAGTGATTTCACAAAAGTGCATGTCAACTTTATAATTTACACTTCGGCTTTATTAAAACTATTTATCTAGAGGATAATAGATAATTATTATTAAAATAATGCAACTATCAACAATTTTCTATATAATTCCACTTTTAATGTTATTAATGTTGTTAATTTCAGTTTAGAAACTTCAAGATAGTGTACAGAAGATATGCCGGACTGTATTTCTGTATATGTGTGGATGTGAATGACAACAACCTCTGCTACCTTGAGGCCATACACAATTTTGTTGAAGTTCTCAATGAATACTTCCACAATGTGTGTGAACTCGATCTTGTATTTAACTTCTATAAGGTAAGGAATTTAATTTAAATTAAGTTACTAATTATAATGTCACTAACTGCGCCCCGCGGTGTTACCCGTGGATTTCCAGGATGTAAAGTAGCCTATGTGTTATTCCTGGACGTCAGCTTCTTGTATACAAAATTTTATAAAAATCGGTTCAGCCGTTTGAGTGTGAAGAAGTAACAAACATACACACACTCACAAACTTTCACAATTATAATATTAGTATGATAATCCTCAAAGTGCTATCTCATACTTATTTATACAATTTCTACAGTATTACCCTTTTGAGTAAAGTTAAGTAAACTTTAAATATCTTTGTAATGGATACCTGTATGTATTTGACCAGACCTGGAATTTTGTACCGTATATGAGATGGAGACTCACTAAGCCCTAAGTGGTGGATGCGGCTAGTACGCAGGTAGGACAGGTATCGATTTTTGGCTATCTATAAATGCATTTGACCATGGCTGCCGTTTTGATATTTGAAAATATATTATTATTTTTAGTGGAAAATAAACAATGGCAGACCACTATCACGCATTTAACATTGTGGCAGATGATTTTGAAAATGTAAAAAAAAATTTTTAGGAAGTAATTGACCAGATCTGTTCTTAAAAACTTATGTTGTGAATGGCAGACTTATTCATTGCGGATAAACATCGGCACATTAAAAAATCTGAGATACACTACCCGGTCAGATGTCACTATACATTACGATATCAATTTTACATTAATATAGTTTACTTAATCACTGTATTTAATGAATTTAATATATTCCATGTAGTCTACATACTAAACTTTTAAAGTTAATAAAGAAGGAGATACATAACAAAAAAATCCTAAATATTGAAGTATACTGCTAAGAACAAAGAATAATTATAATTTGTATTTTATTTTTTAAATTTATTTATTGAATACAACATTTAAACGTTAGATAAATAAAAAACAATCATTGATGAATTACTAAATCAATATATATATGTATGTATATATGATCTTCTCTTCCAAATAGTATGTGGTAAATATTAAAGTTGTATCTGAACCTTCACTCAGTTCTTTAAAAATATCGACATACTTTTTATGTAAATATGAAAAAAACAATAACAACGTCCCCGCTTTATGACATTTTCTTCAAGTAAATTAAAAATTTCTTTATATACAATTTGAAGTCTTTCTCGAGATATGTGCCATGAAGTATGGACAGGACTTTTCACCAATGATCGTTTTTGATTCCTGAAATTTTGTCGACAAATATCATAGTAATGTACTTTACGAGAGGAAAAATTTTGTATTTTTGTCAGGGTGTCATTATAAATTTCATTATCTGGTTTCAATTGTGATAAGATGCTTATTTGAAATTGATCTTTGCTTGAAATACGCAATGGCTTATTTTTAGACTTGAACTGTTTTTTTTTGGAAAAAAAAAACAATAATTCAGGTTTGCTGAAGCCGCGGTATCAGAAGTCTGAACCGTTGATGATTCTGTGGAATCTTCCAATGGTCTTTCCTCGATCGGCTGATCTACTTCGGCGTGAATATTTTTTTCTACAACTTCATTTGCCTCTGAAACATATGGCATTCAAAATAGAATCTTCTACCATATTATCATCAACTATTGGGCTATCAGCTGATGTTGATGGTTGTTCAGTTACAGACGAGTACGTACTCTGTAATGGAACTTTTTTATTGGCATCCGTTGATTTTTATTTAAAGCTGTAAACGTCTTGTAACAACTACTATGATATCCTGAATTTAAAATTTCCTTGGGTAAATTTATACCATTGTACTTTAATTTATGTAATTTTCGTAAGCTAAAATTTTTTTGACATTTCTCCATAGTCTCTTCCGAAAATATTAATAATAATTTTACACTTTTTGACGTGCCACAAAAAACACACTGCAATTTTTTTTTCATCCACCATAATCTCAAATATATTAAATAGATAATAGTCAAATTAACAAAGTAAAATAAAGCAACATTATATATTTTATCAAATTCACGAAACACGAGGCATCTGTGTGAAGGTTGACAAATAAATTATGGACATCTGACAAAAACCGATAGGGTGCTATAGGCTTGAATGTGTACAATAGTAATACATTGGAGAAAGAAAAAAGATAGCTATATGCATACTGGGTAGTTTATCTCAGATTTTTTATGTGCTGATGTTTATCCGCAATGAATAAGTCTGCCACTCACAATATAAGTTTTTAAGACTATAATAAATAAAATGTATAGATGGCAGATCTGGTCAATTACTTTCAAAAAAAAAAATTTTTAACATTTTCAAAATCGTCTGCCACAATGTTAAACGCGTGATAGTGGTCTGCCATTGTTTTTTTCCACTAAAAATAATAATATATTTTCAAATATCAAAACGGCAGACGTGGTCAATGTATTTATATATGCAGATAGTCAAAAATCGATACCTGTCCTACCTGCGCACTAGCCGCGTCCACCACTTAGGGCTTAGTGAGTCCCCATCTCATATACGGTAGGTAAAGGGGTCTCAACGTGCACAAGCCCAGGTCTGGTCAAATACACACAGGTATCCGTTCACTGGCTCTTAAGCTATTATGTTTATATCAGGTATACACGGTGGTGGATGAAATGTTCCTGGCTGGTGAGATCCGGGAGACGTCCCAGACCAAAGTCTTGAAGCAACTGCTAATGCTCAACTCCTTAGAGTGAACCTCGAGTCTCATTAGCTTATGATGAAGCTAGCGATAATTTATTTCATTGTGTGTTAATAAATCTATTATTATAATTATAAGATCATTTATCATAGTTGAAAGCTAATAGAGATTGTTCTTTGTATATAGATCGGTTTTGTGTTGAAACAATGTAAATACAGATCAATTGAACATTTGAATGATAATTTGCAAGTGTTGAAGTTTTTACATGAAAGTAAATACTTTTTTTGAAATATTCTGTATTGTATTCTACATAAATGTTATTTAAAGTAGCAAATACTCATTCCATGTTATGATAAAAAGAGGAGTTGAATCAATATTGTTCCCTTGTTTGTAGCTACGCCTCTATCCTATATCTTATAAGTTAGGTAAATCTATATCAAGTTAATAAACATATAATTATTTAATAAACACGAAATATAAACAACTTGTTTGATTTATTATGAAAAAAAATTGGTAAAAAAACTTTTTAAGTTAAACGGCTTTACATGAAACATACATTGCAATGTTTAAGATAAATGTACTAAAAAGCAAAAAATAATAAAATAGATACAGTCGTGGGAATTATTAACATATGCATAGACTAGACTAAAATAATACCGTGGAGCATGTTAAAGCCGTTTAACTTAAAAAGTTTTGTTACCTTTTTTTTATTTTTCTAGTTTTTAGTTTTTATTTCGCATTCTGTTTAATTCATTTGTGCTTCATTATTGCAAGGTTTCTTGCCCGTTAGTTTATTGCAGTCCAACTCCTCTAAAAAATTGTTATCAGCCATTTGGTAGCGGCGGCCATCTTAGATTTCAATTTAGCATAGTAAGTTGTATTCTACTTGTTGAGCCCTTTCATTTGATACCAATGTTGATGGGATTAATAAATCCTAAGTTATCCGGCATTTTGTAGCGGCCGCCATCTTGGATTTCAAATTCTTATACTACATTGTATTCTGGTTTTTGAGCCCTTTCATTTGATACCCATATTGATGGTATTGATAAAACCTACGTTATCCGCCATTTTGTAGCGGCCGCCATTTTGGATTTCAATTTTTTATAGTATATTTTATTCTGCTTATTGAGCCCTTTCATTTGATACCAATTTTGATGGGGTTGATAAAACCTACGTTATCCGCCATTTTGTAGCGGCCGCCATCTTGGATTTCAATTTTTTATAGTATATTTTATTCTGCTTGTTGAGCCCTTTCATTTGATACCAATTTTGATGGGATTGATAAAACCTACGTTATCCGCCATTTTGTAGCGGCCGCCATCTTGGATTTCAATTTTTTATAGTACATTGTATTCTACTGGTTGAGCACTTTCGATTGATACCCATATTGATGGTATTAATAAAACATAAATTATCCGCCATTTTGTAGCGGCGGCCATCTTTAATTTATAATGATAATGTATAAATATAATTGTTTTGTCACCAAAATTCAAAGTGTATACAAAATTTCAGATTAATCCTTTGACAGGAAGAGGGTGAAATTTGAATTACTAAATTTGACTCAAGAAAGAATAAATAATAAAACATACGGGGTGAGCTAAATAAAACCGTTTAAAATGTATTAAGTGGTCACCAGCATTATAATCAAATAAAAGTCATAATTAAAAATAAAGCAATATAATCTACAAAAATTGTCCCCTCATGTATTAACATATAATTACAGGATTAATATTTATTATTATAAAATATGTATCTATAACAGATAGGGACGACACAAATAAAAAGTTAGTTATATAACTGACACAAAAGATGCCGGAACTATTATTACAAGTACATGTAGTATAGAATTAGACTTATACAAGTGTGGTAGACTATACAGATGTTCAGCCCCACTCCCAGTAATGCAATATCGGTGAGAACATCCACAGGTCGGGATGACCCACGTGAGAGATGTGGACCCCCAGGTCAAACTTACTCCATCTGTACACAGAATTAGTTCATATTAACTTCATGATATATTACACCGAAATAAATAAACGACTAAGAAGTGTTGATTTTAATTTATTTTGGGTCTATCATCTGTCATAAATAGAGCCCGGATTAATATGTGAACACATATTTTTACTTTACGCGATTTTCAGTCTAGAATGTGTTTTTTACATGGATTGTCATATTTAGACTGTGAAAAACCAAGTTTTATTTTCCATATTTCAAAGTTAAGTCCATGTTTTACAAAAAAAGTCACAATCATCCATATATTCACAAAAATACATAAAGTTTACGTTCCCGCCACTAATGTTTTGGATAAAAATAAAAGATTTAATACGCTAAAAAAAATAACAAAATTCTGTGTGGAGGTTTCGAGGGCTGTAGAAATGGCTTATACAATTATTGAATTAAGCATGTTTAAGTATTTATTATCCATCACGTCATGTGACGTGGAGAGATCATTCAGCAAATATTAGGCTATATTTCGACCAAATGGTCAGTTTTCATTTTGATAATTTAAAGAAGCACGTCATTGTGTATTGCAACCAATTTGATAAGGCTAGTGTAATGGAAGTTGAATAAAACTGTTATTTTTTGTTCAAATAAATATTACTCTATTTTTTTTATCGTTTTTTAAATGAAACTGTAACGATGTCCGTCACGAGTGACCCTTTTCTTATAGTAAAACAATTTTTAATTATGAAAAAGTATTTTATTTTATACTCTATATTTTTGATCTTTTCGTCCATATTTTATGTAAATATTTTTGATTTTTAATACATATTTATCCGGGCCCTAGTCATAAATAAATTAAAAACAGTATGGAGATGAATGGAGTGCAAAAGTCCGTAAATAAATTTTTTGCTGAAAATTTGTCCATGTATGGATGTTGGAAAGGCAGGGCGAGTCCTCTGTTGTAACGTTCAAGTGTCCTAAGTTATCGTTACTCCGACACACGTTACAGTTATAGTAAACGGTCAAGGTGTGTGTGAGTATACTAACTGGAAGGGCGGTATCCCGCGCGTGATGTTGTGCGGCGGCCCCGACACGGCCAGGAAGCGGTACGTCTTGTGGAGGTTGTAGGTCGTCATCTTAGCGTCCGTGGCGCCGTGGCTGCGGTGACCCAGGGCACGGAACGGATATGATCCTGGAAAACATTCACTCATTCATTCATTTACAACGACAATACAACTATTACGACAATATTGGAATTAAACAGTATTTATTTTAATTCTTATATGGGGTAACACTAAGTATTGCTACCTGGCGTTATACTTCAATATTTAAATAATTAAAATTTTCTTATTGTGGCCTCTTACGTATTTGTGACTTAAATTAAAATCTGTTACCACTCAAAATTGTTACGAATTACAAAAAAATGCATGTCCAGTTTTTAATTGTGTTCGTCAACAGACATGAATAAAAAGAATAATATATATGATATGTGAATATAATAATAAACAGTGAGTACGTCTCACCGTTAGCGGGGTTGAGGTCGTTCCTGGCGGCGATGGCGTTACACGCGCTGTACGGAGGCACGCAGGGGCAGCGCGCGAGCGGGTCGTGGAGGAAGTCGTTGTAGCGGAGCACTGAGAACATGCTCTCCGGGGACACCACGCCCGCCTGGAGGGGGAAGGGGGGGTTAACGAACACGTACTCCTTATAAAAATCATTATATCAAACTAAACTACTTTATACTATATGAAGGTGGAGCAAAATTTTTTATTAGAGTGTATCAGATATAAAACTGAAAAAAATATTGAAATGTCTCCAGTAATTTTGCCGCGAGACGAGTACGAGAGAAGACTTCAATAATATTTATATAGGTATAAAAAACCGAGTCAGTAAAGATACAAGTATATGACCTGTTTCTGTTTGAACATCTTGGCTCTAGGGTTAGTGTCGTAGGCGAACCAGTCGCCGAAGGTCGCGATGCGCTGGTTGCCGCCGCTCAGGTTGAACACGCGAGGGAAGAACGCTATGTTGTACGACGGGAAATACGTGGTGTTCTTCAAGTGTTCTGTTCTGAGAAGTGGAAATAAACAAATTAACATTATTATGATTAAAAACGCCTTATTTGACGAGAGGGATGTTAGTTTCATTTCTTTGATTCTTCAAACTCTCTCACACTTCAGTTTAGAACAACGATAGTTGTGCAATCACATGGGAAATAAGGACATTCGTTTGGTTTGTTTTAGTACAAAAATAATGGTTTCTGAACACTAAACTACACCATCAACATTCATATTGTTTGTCATCAGCCTATCAGAGCCCACTGCTGAGCAAAGGCTTCTTTCTCACATGGAGAAGGTTTGAGCATTAATCACGACGCTTGCTCAAGACGGGTTGGTGATTTCAAACTTGTAATTGTGAAACTATAAGTCCAGGTTTCCTCACGATGTTTTCCTTCACCGTATGTCAGTGGTGTCTAAATACTCTCAGTAAGTACATAAGTATGAATTCGAAAAATCATATAACATAATAGTATTATTATTAACAGTATGTATATTCTCACAGGTCGGCGGCCTCCGTGTATCCGGGCAGCTGTTCCAGCACCCACAGCAGGCCGGGCTGGATGGAGCCCAGCGAGGAGCCCGAGCGAGGCTTGAACTTCTTGTAGTCCACTATATACCTACACACATATCACAAACTCAAACTCAAATAACTTTATTCAATATAGAAGCATTACACTTTCTTATTGATGGTCATTTGAGACACTACCACCGGTTCGGAAAAGAAAATACCCTGACCTGAGAAGAACCGGCGAAAGAAACTCAGCGGTTTTTTTTATATATACAAGGTGACTGGTGAATTACTATCAATACTTTAGGACGTGATATTTGACGATCATATATGACAAGATAAAAATTAATATAACATAAATATTAATAAACTTCTAAGTAAAGTTAACCAAAAGTTATGTAATTAATTACGCATCGTGTGAACACCTTACAGATTAGGTATACACACACACTCACACTTACGCGTGTGGCGGCGTAGTGTTGTATCAGCACCACGCCGCACGCGCCCACACTTGGAACACTTGGAACGTGCCCACACTTTATTTATTTATACGGAAATTTGGTCAAAAATTAAGTACCTATTTTTTTTACATAATTCGAATGAGAATCATGTACCGAGTATTCTCCTTAAATATTGATAGTAATTCACCAGTCACCCTGTATATTTGTCTCATATATTATATACACATTTTAATATGAGATGAAATAGCCAGGAGGCGATCGTTTCATTCCCAAGGTGTGCTATCGATCATAAACTCATTAATTGTATAGTAACCTTTTGCACACAAGCGTTCCTTAATATTTTTTTTTAAATTTAGCAACAGAGGCATTTTGAACGCTTGAGACACTACCACCGGTTCGGAAAAGAAAATACCCTGACCCTGACAACATCTCTTGACGTACGATACTCATACATATTATATGTTTCGTTCAACATTTAACATGTTTAATTTCTTTTTATCAGCGTTGCGTTTTGATTCTACAGAGTAATTAGTAATGAATAATGTGTTCTTGATATACGTTAACCTCCTGTCAGCGATGTCTATTGGCAGAGTCATGACACTTCATACAATGATTCAAGTGCAAAAAATTGTTAATAATACATTGTCACAATAAATGTATAAATTATAAACTATGTTATTCCGATGTCTAAATTATTGAAAAAGTTCGTCAAAACCCGTCGAGTATAGTTTACATAAAGGAACAAGTGTCATATATATGTATATTTATATTTTAAATAAGATTAAACTCGAACTGATTCCGAAGTGCCTCATAGTTTCACTATATAAAGACACGTCATCGATATAATGAAAATATAATAAACGTAGGCATATCGAATATTGTGTAAATTTTAATGTATCCCTTACTACCAGTTCGCGTGATAAAACTAAACTGTATTCGAGTTGTCGATGACACTCATAGTAGGGGTGCGGTAGTAAGTGTATTATAGGTGTATTGGGTGGTACCACTGGTTGTTGTAGGTGCCGCTGTTGTGTTTCCTGAACAGCTCCACCCACTGGCGGCCGCTGCGGGCCAGTCTGTTGGCCACCATCGCTCGCACGAACTCCAGGATCTACAAACAACAATATACAGGGTGACTGGTGAATTACTATCAATATTTAAGGAGCATACTCGGTACATGATTCTCATTCGAATTATGTAAAAAAAATAGGTACTTAATTTTTGACCAAATTTCCGTATAAATAAATAAAGTGTGTACACGTTCCAAGTGTTCCAAGTGTGGACGCGTGCGGCGGCGTGCGGCGGCGTGCTGATACAACAACACGCCGCCGCGCGCGTATGTGTGTGTGTGTGTGTATACCTAATCTGTAGGGTGTTCATACGATGCGTAATTAATTACATAATTTTTGGTTAACTTTACTTAAAAGTTTATTAATATTTATGTTATATTAATTTTTATTTTGTCATATATGATCGTCAAATATCACGTCCTCAAGTATCGATAGTAATTCACCAGTCACCCTGTATATATACACTATAGAGACGCTACGTTGCAGTAAGTTTTTCTAATAAGTAGCTATTTAGTTAAAAGTATTTTTGAATGATATTTAATACAGATAGATTTTACTTAATTTTCGAATTTTTAAACACTTTATGATACGTATGAATTTAATTGTGAATACAATTATTTTATGCAAGATGGTTGAGATATGACAAATAAAATTGGTGATAATACGAACATCGTTAGGGAGATAACACGAGGAGAGATTAAACGAGACAATAATGATGATAATAATATATTATGATACTGGTATCACTCACCTGTCCGTTAGGGTGCACGTTCTCATAGAGCGTCCGGTTGCTGTTCCCGATGGTGGTCTCCGCGGGCACCAGGCCTGATGATATGATGTAGAAGTCATCCGTCGACTGGACCACAGACGGACCATGGAAATAAAGCATATATAGATAAATAAAACTAATACTTTGCGTAATATTACGCTACGGAAAAGAAATATTTTGATTTAAATGAATACTCACGAAAATCTTGAATCTCATTATATATACCATTTATATTATAGCAAGTTTTTATTTAACTAAAAAAATAATTCAATAACTGACTTTTTTCATTAAAATAATTATAAGATTTTTTCTTAAATATAGTACCATTTACATTGAATTAAAACCGTTTTAACTCCACCTAAACCGTTTTATTCACCTGAACAAAGGCGGGGTAGGAGCTGAAGGACATCTTCCAACCTGGGATGAGTGTTCGGTCGACAGCCGACATCCCGTAGTGGAGCACGTACATCTTGTGGAAACGTAACATGGACTGGTAACTGGGAAATAAAACAGACAGGTTCAAACAAGAGATATGATGCTAAAATAACGGTATTGTAGGAAGCTTATATCATTAAACCAAGGTTTTCAAATTGAAAGCACCAGAGTTTTCGAGATTAACAGCATGAAAAAGAAATTAGTTTTAAATATACTACAGCTTATATGAATGTTGTCACTCTATCAGATCTGTGATTCTTAATGTTGGAATAAAGATAGAAAATATACTTCTAAAGCATGAGATCTAAGATTTTTCGGACTATATTTTACTAGGCGACTTTATTTTTTTTAAAAACTACATACTCCCGACGTTTTGCTACTTTTCAGCAACCGTGATCACGGACAGACGTACGTACGTAATATACATCCAAATCTTTATAATGGACAATATGATTAAACCCTGGCATGCAGTATACTCCATCACCTGTTCCACGTGACCTGTGAGGTGTAGAGATCACTCCAGTCGGGCAGCAGCTTCACCAGGCCACTGCAGCGCTCCCCGAACAACAGGGAGTCGGGCGTCTCCGGGGGCAGGGACAGAGCGAACGCCAGGTCGTCCAGGTCACCCAACATGTTGATCCACCTGGAATATAATTATTAAACATTCATATTATAGAATATTAAAGAGGACATATATTAAACAGGTCATTTTATTTGGCATATATATTTGTTTCCACCTCTATATATCTATTAATGTACAAGTATTATTTCCAATGTTAAAAGGTAATGTTTTTTGTATATCAAAAACGTCTTTAACAATATTTCTAGATAATATGTATAAGTCTCAAATATATTTTTGAGCTTTTCACAAGTCAACTATATTTTAACTAGCCTTACTAAGATGTGCTCATATCTTTGAAGGAGTCTTAGTTTTGTTTTGTCGACAATATATGCTATACATACAAGATGTCTCTGACTGTTAGCCATTCGTACGGGTTGCTGGTCGCCTCATTGTATCCTACCGACAGTCCCTCTAACTGGATATAATACAGTTTGATCTGTAAAATAAAAAAAATAAATAAAATACAAATAACACAAGTAATGAGACTGAAAACACATATTTATTTATATTTATAATTAATTAGTATCTGCCCGCGACTTCGTCCGCGTTGATTTCGGAACTAGTAATATATTAAAAGACAGCCCACAAATGGGGCAATACCCAACAACTACAAAACAACAGAAATGTTATAAAAATTAAGAATTACGTTAACATGAATAGTTTGGCAGTATTTAACAAATTAACTATAGAAAGAAACTGTTGTCTATAGATATTGTCTATCAAAACTTTTTTTTAACGAAAAGAATGCCTATTCCTAGGAATAGTCGGGACTATAGGCTCTCCTTGCCCAAAATTAAGACATCTTTTGTTAGACGCTTCAGTCCTTTCATTGAATCTTTTATTTACAATAAAGTAGCTAACGCTTGTGACATTAAACGTTGCTCCGTCAAACAAGCCAAAACAAAAATTATTTCTTGGCTCTCCTCATTGACCTATGATACCACCGAAAAACTTTTCTTGCACTTAGTATAGTACCTAATCACTAACATAAGATTTTTTTTTAATTCTGTAGTTGTAAGTTAATTCTACTTAAATTATGCAATGTATCTTAAACAATTATGTAATTTATATTCTAAGCCGAGCGACAACAATAAACATGTAGTGTAAATCTATCAGTTGGTACCCACGACACAGGAATACTTAGTGTGGGCACCACCGGACATTTCTTTGTATAATGCTGTTTTTTTGTTAATAAACATTTTTTTCATTTTTTTTATTGGCTGTCGATCGTGCATACGTAGACCGGTAAAAGGTACATAGCGATAATGTCGTTTTTTCTAGGAGTTGAGTTCTCGAGTAAGTAAATATGGTTTTTCGCTTATATGAGGAAAAGTCGAACATTTTCCGGGAAGTAAAGTAGCCTACGTGTTATTCCTGGACGTCAGCTTCCTGTATACAAAATTTTATTAAAATCGGTTCTGCCTTTTGAGCGTGAAGAAGTAACAAACATACACACACACTCACAAACTTTCGCAATTATAATATTAGTAGGATTGATAATAATAATTTAACACACTGATAATTTAACTGACACAACAAAGATTTTAAGTGGAGCTATCTATCAAGTATACTTGTTTCAAATATACAGGGTGACTGGTGAATTACTATCGATACTTGAGGACGTGATATTTGACGATCATATATGACAAAATAAAAATTAATATAACATAAATATTAATAAACTTCTAAGTAAAGTTAACCAAAAGTTATGTAATTAATTACGCATCGCGTGAACACCCTACAGATTAGGTATACACACACACTCACACATACGCGTCCGGCGGCGTGGTGTTGTATCAGCACGCCGCCGCACGCGTCCACACTTGGAACACTTGGAACGTGTCAACACTTTATTTATTTATACGGAAATTTTGTCAAAAATTAAGTGCCTATTTTTTTACATAATTCGAAAGAGAAACATGTACCGAGTATTCTCCTTAAATATTGATAGTAATTCACCAGTCACCCTATATACATATGTAAAAATTGTTTATTATTGTATTCACCTGGTACCAGTAAGGATCATCTGGGTTTGCATTAACCATGGATACAATGTAATCTTCATTTTTGTTCACATAATCCTCTATGAGACCACAGACCTCAGTTTTGTTGTAGCAGTACCTTCATACATTAACAATATAGATATCACGTCTCCACTTAAACCAAAAATATTCAAAAAATTTTTATTTTGTACTTTTAGAAGTAGCCAATTTAACAATGTTATCTCAAAAGATGTCATGTAAATAGTTCAACTATTTATGTCTAGCTGATGATGGTGAAATTATGTTGTAAAGCATTGTCTTAACAAAACATCAAATGTACTGTAACATTTTGTTGAGTCTACAAAAATCATTTTATTTCTCTTAGCCTTATTGCGATGACTCTGGCAGTCTTTGACCCAAAAAGTAAATAATAAAGATGGAATTAATTTTAAACAGGGTTATTGATTGTTAGTTTTTTTTTACTTATTTGAGTAGAGGTGAAATACTTATTTGGTTGGGCCATTATATTGCTATTCTTATAACTTCATGTATTTTATTTAAATATAAAACCGTCATAAGTTATTTTTATAAAAGTTATTTGTTTTAGACTCACCCTTTCAATACATTTTCCCAGTGCATCCATATCAGATCCCTAGTCAGAAAGCCTTCCAAGAAACCAGCAGCATATGCTTGCCTTTCATCTGGGACATCTGGGTGTGTATGGAGTTCCAGGAAGGCCCATCTAAAAATTACTCTTCAAATTATATACTGTACTTAATGCAAAAAAAAATATATACTGTAAAAAGGAATATGTACCCGGTGGAATTAATGTCATTGGTGTAAGTAGCCCGCGCTACGTGAACTTCCGGGATGTCCTCATAGTTATCAGTCACAGAAACTACAGCTTTACCCAACGACCACGAAACGAAACCATACTTACCGTCAACTGCTACGACAAACAAGAATATACTGAAAATGAAACATATTGTACGTAAAATCATAACGGTCTTTAACGTTACACTATTTGGCTCGCTCAGTGTCCGAGACCATTTATTGTTGATATAAAGTTCAAAAGGTTATCATAATAAAACAAGTTTAAATATATTAGACACCACGAGATATCAACAAACAAATAGGACTCTATATATTTATTATCAATGTGTCAAAAACAGCTGACATTTGACATTCTTATTAGTCTGACAATATATTTAGTTACTTCCATTTTAAAAACTCCTTTGTGTTTTTATCACACAGTAATCGAGATTATAATTCGTCATGCAAATAAAAACTTTCATATTAGCAAAATATTCCACGGTTCCGATTAGAATGAAGCCATAGCATAAAATTAAAATATTCACTTACCTACCTATGTCTAATAAATTAAAAGAAAATGTCTTAAGCAAAGTGCATACTAATATATTAAAACTATTTTGATTTAAACAATTTGTATTTTGTGATTCAACTTTCTATAAATTAATTCGTTTAAAAAAACCGAAGCGAAAATTCTTCTAAAACAATTACTTATTCCTTTATCATTCAAAGTAAGGGCTAAGAATTAAATTATCTTGGATGGAATGTACCATCAGATATCTCTAAAATTCGGAAAACATTCATAGAAATTAAACTTTTTCTGAGAGTTGTTTCATAAAATATATGGTTAAAATATTTGAGTATAAATAAAAAAATATATTAAAAAATCAACAAAAATTCAGTCTTTAATTCACTAAAATTTCATGTACACAGTACAGATCTAATAAGAACAGGTCTCTTTATCAATATTCGTTATATTTTCAGGTTGCTGATAGTTTGAGGGCTATTTCTCCGCATCGGTAGCCGATCTCCCTCATGATGTAAGGCGTCCGCTCGTGGGCCGGGGTCCGGAGCCACTCGTTCACGTTGAAGGCGACGGTGGCGTAGCCCTGCTTCTCCAAGATGTCCAAGATGAGGCGGAAGGGGCTCCGAAGACGGTTGCTGTTCATAGAAAAACAGCCCTGGCTGAAGTTCATGATGCATATACTGGAAAGACATTTCCAAATTAAATACTTCAGAATAGTACGCAACACTTAAACTAAAAGGAATAAGAAAGTTTATAAATATTTAGTATGGATAAGTTTTCTACTCTCCGTTTAGATGATATTTTATATGGTCTTTTTGTTTGATTGTTCTACTTACACTATTCCACCGTGGGGTAATTTCAGTTCTATGAGAGGAACTTTGCTTTCATTAATTTTTTCGGGCATTTTTACAGGAACACCAGATTTCAAACATACCACGATGTCTGTAAGTAAAAAAAAATATAAAAAAATTTGCGAGGTATTACATAAAAAAAATACTCTAAAAGGTTGTGTCTTCTTCTTCCTTCAATTTTCCCAGCTTTAGTCAGGGTCTGCCTTAAATGTTGTGAATAGTTTTGGCTAATTGTTTTTATGGCCGGCCGCCTGCTTGACATCATCCCTCTTTGGGAATGGATTAATCAGTGATGTCTAAATACTCTTAGAAAGTACATATGACTCGGAAAAATCACATTGGTACTTGCCAGGAACAAACCCGCGCCCTCATACATATATGAGAGGCGGGCCTTTTAACTATTAGGCCACCACTGAATTTCTATAAAAGTTTCTGTATGGGTCCAAATGCATAAAATTTTGTTTAAACCATAATAAATGTTACTAACCTGCAATAATACCGTTGGGGAGCACGACATCTTTTGCACTGTACTCCGGACCCCCCAACCCTCGGGCCAGATGCTCCATCAAGCGACTCGTGGATGCATGTGTGGGGTACACCTCTTTAGCCTTCTGCAAAATATCATCTGGCAACTTGTACTCATTAGTATGGAAGGTGTTCACTGCCTCGTATAGGGTCAAGAGCTGGAGGTAGTCCAGAGTATTGTTCTCACGAGCAAGGAATTCTCGGAGGAAATCTTTAGAGAAGACACGTTCTAGCAGTCTGTCATCGTAAAAGCCTAGTGAAGCCAGCTCGAGACAGAATTTGGTCCAGGGTAAGTTGGCGTTCGTGGCCTTTAACACAGGGTTGCTAGATATCTGGCGTTTGATTTCGTCCCACTGGTCCTGTGGGGGTGTGAAGTTACTGTTCGCCAGGCAGTTGACGAAACTGAACAGAATATTGGTCCGTGCGTTAGATAGGGTCTCGGGATCTGTGGCCGCCTTCAGGCAGAGAAACTCTACTAGACCGAGATGTGTGTGTGCCTGGAAAGAACGAAGATATACATGTGTGGAAAAACAATCAATTTATTAGAACATCCAATACTCTTCTTTCTTAGAATTACGGGCCATCACATTTTTAGTACAACCTTTCTTTGAAATAACGTCGCATTTTAAATTTTATGCTATTTGACATGACAATTCGAAATTTTCGCAAACAACAGATACGTGAAGGGTACAAAATCATGTGGGTTCTTGTTTTAAGAGCTAACTGACATATAACTTCCTTAGAAGTTAAATGTCGCAGCGTGAGAGATAAGCTTAGAATAAGATGTTTTAACATTTGACATCACAAAGTTCTTAAAGCATCCCCCGCCCCCTTCCACCACTTCGGGTGAAATCTGCAATCTCTTCAAGTGTTACATAATTTATGGATGATCCCTAAATAATGAACAAATACTTACAATTCTGGAGAGTACTCTAGCAATAAGTAGTCCTTTCTCAAAATCTAAGTCATTGGATATAACGTAATTGGCTATAGTGTCCATGAGCTGCTGGTGATAGTACTCCGGATGTTTCTCAAGGATCCTGCCCTTCAGTTTAGCGGCTGTTCGAAGAACATCATCATAGGACAGCTTATCAATGGACTGTGATAGAATGTCGCAGCAGATATGAAGCAACTGAACTCTGGTTGGGAACTCCTTTTCTGTGCAATTTACTTGACATAGCGCCCATATAATAGATTTTGCTATCTGAGGGTTTATGTTCTGGTCGTTAATCAGGATTCCTGTCACTACGTTATTGATACACCTGTGTGGCAGGTCGTGAGAGCAGCAGTAGGTCAGCATGTCCTTTAAGAGAGGGAGATCTTTGCTGTCTATCTCATTAGGTAAATGTATTTGGAATGCTAGAGGTAGAGCGAGTTTGAGAGCGTCAACAAGGTGATTCTTGCCCTCCATCTGTGATAGAAGAAAGTCTAGAAACATAATTTGCTGTGTGTTCAGTAGGTTTATATTGCAGCGTATTAACTGAAGCATAGTTTGAACTATCATGGAGTCCGCAGGAACTTTGAGGTAGGACAGGACTTTGAGAGCTTCTATCGTTTCGCCAACATCTAAAGCGCGTGCATGCTTTTTGAAATTCTGGCAAAGGACACTAAATGTTGGGTCTTTAACTATGGTATCGGGATCATCTTGTCTGCAATGAAAAATCATACACATTAGTTTTATATAAACTGCAATAAATGATAACTAAAATATATTTTTGTATAGTAATTACCAATTGAACTATATATCTCTAGTTCAACACACAACTTCACTGATACGATACAATATTTTAAAGTACAACATACATACAACTGCCACATACTTATTGGCTTTGTGCAACTCAAACAGTGTTCTCAGTGCCTGTAGCATGTGCCGGTGTGTCATGCTCGTCATGTGAGCCTGCACCGCCGCCAGCACAGCAGCCGTGCTTGGCGCAGTCTTTATACTTAGCATTATCGTGTCTACATTCCTAGCGCGCACTATTTCCGACACTGTAATATTAAAATACTCAATATTTTATTTGTTTACGGTTTTAAAATAATTATGGTTGTTATGTACATTATACATACCGCTGGATAAACTGGTGGATCTCATTGAAACATTATTAACCTGGCTTCCCCTTAAAACATTGCGCCATACGTTTTTTAACAATTGTGACATTGTGGCTAAAATTAGATATATGACTTAAAAAAGATAATTAAATAATGAATTACATTAGTTGAATTGTAATGAATATGAAGAGCTACTGAGATAGGACTCACATAATTTTGTTTTTCTTTAACAAAAGACAAATAATATTGTTTCTTTAAAAGTCAACATTAACGTATATAAGTAATTGTTAACAGCTCATGCAAGCATTTAAAAAACTCTAAAATAATCATGCAATGAATCTTTACTTCTAAAAAAAGAAATAGAAATATATTCTATAAACAAAAATATTAAAAGTCCAATTTGTATTGAAAAAATTTATATAATTTTGTGTCATATACGACATGTGATAATGACATTGACAGTTCTACTGATAGAGTTTTCTTTTGTATTTTTTTAAAAATAAATATGTTGTTTAAATAAACTGCTTGATATCATAATTATAAATAAAAATAGTAAAATTACAAATTTACAAAATATTGATTAAAATACAAATCCAGTTAATAAATTTTCGGTATAAAAGTAATCATCATAATTAATCTTCATATAAACATTAAATTGTCACTAACTGTCACATCCAGACGGCTAGACCTCAAGAATTGTCAATATTCAATTCAAAAAATGGTCTAGATTTTTGGTTTTCGGTCGATATTGACTTCAAAAATTGGATTTCTGTAAAATATTGTTAAAAGAACTAAAGAAAAACAAAACTTGATGCAAGATGATGTTTAAGGAAACAATTGTTAGTTTTAGACCTGAGCGAGAAATCCGCAAAACTATTTTGGTTCCGGGGGACTACAACTTAGTTCCTTATGAAGATGCGAGATGTAAAATCAGACTCGGAGACGTGAAATGTAGCAATAGAGCTGGGCCGTGTGAAATAGAGCCGGAAAGTCGTATTTTCAACATTCCTTTCGACGGGAACGTCATCATAGGAGACATGGACTCTTTCATAGACAGAGATGTCGAGATACTGCTACAGCGAATGTGCTGCGGGGAGATCAGCAGGGCCAATCTGACTTACAAAAACAGTCACGGTGACTTGATCAAGGAGATTACTTTTAGGATAGAGCTGGTGGATGTGACGGAAGAACAGTTGATAAGCGACTGGAGCTGGGCGAGGCTGTTCGAGTCCGCGGCTCATCACAAGGAACGCGGAGTACAGCTAGTGAAGGACAAACGCGTGGTGGACGGCTTTAGGAGGTTCTCTAAAGCTATGAAAATGCTCATCGCTATTGAGCCTGTCGATAAAAGTTCCATAGATGACGAGAGGGTCAAAGAGTTTATTAATATGAGGGTAACTTTCTTTTAGTATTCTAAAACACTATATTTTCATTCCTTGATTATCTAAATAGTCAGACAAAAATTATCTACCAAGTCTTTTAAACCTCACATGTACTGCAAGACACCACTTATTATTCTATAATGTCGATATTAACTAAAAGTTGTTAATAGGTTTTTTTTCTTACAGGTAAAGTTATACAACAATATGGCACACTGTCAGCTCCAGTTTGAGGAATTTGGAGCAGCACTGGATTTATGTTCAAGGGCGCTCAAATATGACTCGGAAAATATCAAAGCATTGTACAGACGGTCAATCGCTTATGTGGGACTCCACATGTATGAAGAAGCCTGGACTGACATTCAAAGGGCTCTCAGTATAGACCCTAACGATAAAGCATCTTTGATGAAAGCCAATGAACTACGTCCACACTTCGAGAAAATAAATGAAAACTATAATTCAGTTATCAAGAAGATGTTTCGTTGAGTCGAGATTGGGTCTCGGACATAAGGATAAATAAAAATAAGTAAAGTTATATATGGATATTGCATATAAATAAAAAAAGATATAAAATGACAGCATTTAATCTATGTGATAACATTGTGAAGGAACTGTAGTCAGTAGCACTAGAGCCTCCGATGACTTGTATTATATACTTGTCTTATTGTTCTAAGTTTTATTTCGTCTTAATTAAAAATTCGGCTGGGATACCGATTATTTTAAATTTAATCCAGACATAGTTTGAGAAACTTCTATACTTGGAATTAATTACAAAAATGGTTTATATCCGATCTTACACTAAGATAGCCGAATACTATTCATTCCGACAGACACCGAACTAATGTCAAGGTCAGCGTCATTTAGACTGCGCTGGTCAACTCACGGTCGAGTAGTTGACAACTAATAAACTATAATAGTAGAGTACAGATTTCGGCCTATGTTTGTAAATTTTCAATGATATTCTTTTCACTTCTTCATAAACAATGAGTTGTGCCAAATCAAGGGAAACCATAGTTTTAAATTGGTATGCCATCTCCATACAGTAGTGACGTAGAGTTGATATGAGAGTAGCTTGTAATAGAAACAATAAAATGATGTTTAAATATTAATAAATGTTATAAATAATAATGTATTTGTTTTTCCCTAATTTTTTGGAGAGGATAATAACACACCGGCCCCTTATAATTATATTTTTTAAATGTCAGTGAATTATATCAATAATGGTATGGGAACAGACTACAAAAGAGAATATGTAAATTTAAAGTTAACCCAAAGATTCATACGTAACCATTACTGCTAAAAAAATATACTCACATACTTTTACAAATAATCATGTTTTTATTACTAACTAGCTTTCCGCCCGCAGCTTCGCCGCGTGGAGTTCGGTTATATCGCGTTTCCAAGAGAACCTTTCAAAAGTCTGGGATAAAAACTATCCTATGTTCTTTCTCAAGGTCAACTCTATCTCTGTACCGAATTTCATTAAAATCAGTTCAGTGGTTTAGGCGTGAAAGCGTAGCAGACAGACAGAGTTACTTTCGCATTTATAATATTAGTAGGGATATTCATTTTTTAAAAGTATTAATTCTCAATTTTTCTCGCAAATTTCCACAACGCTACAGTATTGACGGATCAATGTGACGTTATTGTTACTAAATTTAACGGAGGCTGGATGAATGTTGCAGGTTTTTTTGACAACCTGTTACTAAATATTCCTGATATTTTTATAAACCAACCAATTATGAGCTAACTCTAAATAGGTTCGTCTTGGATATGTATGCTGTAGAAGCGGGAGCGAGAGGTATAGCAGCTAAATCTCTCTACAACCTAGACTTGGGTCCGTCAAGAACTCACATTATTCGAAGGCAGAATTTTGGTTAGGTAGAGAGAGGAGCTTTGGCAGTTGAGGTGGCCATTTAACGCTCGTTAGGTAGGGGCCCCTTAAACCTAAACCTGGGTCGCAAGTCCCAGGCACTGTTCAAGCTCCTCTCCCTGCATCTCGATGGACCCGCCACCCGCACGGTGAATCCATTGGATGCTAAGAGCTTTCGTGTCGTCTAATAATTAAAAAAAATACCTATTCTCTGCTAGAAATTTGTTAAAAGACACTGCATGCAAAAGTTAGGTAACCGTATGTAGTATAACAATACTTTTTATTTTAAGAGGCTGTAAGTATCACATTAGTTTCATAGTCTGGCTTCATAGAAGCAGCGAGGATCACCCGTCTAGCCTTATAGAGGTTAGGTATTGGAAAAAGTCTAAATTGTCTTTGTGCCTACTACCCAGTGGCGGGGCAAGACCTAAATTCGATGTGGGCAAAACAGATTTCGCGAGGCCCTATTCTATGGCAACCTGAAGCTCTTACTACCTGCTAGTTTTAAAAACTTAATCGTCGATACGATTTTTACCCTTAAAGCTTTGGTTTCCTTTAAAACACAGTATTGAGCGTATTTTATTTACTAGTAATTATTGCGTTACATACTTATTACCAGTTAAATATTTGTTACTTAATGAAATAAAGACGAGTACAGGTACCGGTGTATTACAAATCACAAAGAAAACAAAAACAATTAAAAACGTCACTGTTTTCGGGGGCAATAAATATACTTAAACACTATCTATTTATTCGCTAAATATTATGAAAACATTGACCACACTATTCTTATCAAAATTGGTAAGTACAGTCATAAAAATACACAATATTGATAACACAATTATATATGTACATACGTTTTTTTGGTATGCGCGTAACGCCAGGGGTAAAACCAGGGTAAAACCCGCATTCTGGTAGGCGGCAAATGTTGCCAGTCTTAGAAAATATCATTATCAACAAAATTGATTTATTTATATATATTTTTCTCGCTTTAAAATCTTTTTGAGGCGCGAGGCCCTTGTACCGCGAGGCCGTAGGCGGTGGCCCACATCGCCCACGCCTTACGCCGCCACTGCTACTACCACAAGCTTAAAATTCATAAAAGCATACAAGATGTGTTCATTACCTAAGACTTGTAATGCTTCAGGTAGTCCTCAATGTGTTAGTTTTTTCTCAATTTTTGAAGATAATTATGGAATTCAAAAATATCTAATTAACTGCCTAAAATTCGGGTCACATAGGATCCTAAGTTTGTTGCATTATATTATTGATGTAGGTACAGACCATACAAAATTAGGCTACTAATAATACCCTATCAACTTTTGCGGTGTCGGATAAAAATAGAAAGGTAATAGGACAATTTTTCCTCTGGTTCAGTATAAAAGTGGTTCACACTGACCAGAATATTAAATACCAATCTATCAACAGTGAAGCTGTAGTCTTTGCTTCGTATTACATACAGTGAGTACTATATACTATATTAGTCCTTGTAACTATTAAACAAGTTTTTAATGTATGAATCACCTCGCGATGTAAGCAGACTGTGAGCTCGACCTTACGACACAATGCTCGTGTTTTTTAGTTATTGAGGCGCGTAAACGTATTGCGAACGATTTTCATCTTTTGGTTCACAATAATAAGTGCTTAAACTGCTTTCACTGTTATTACATGAACCTGGCGTATTATCCGAATTACGAAAGTGAGTGTTGTTTTTTTTTGTTTTGAAGTATGATGTCTACAGTTTTCGTCTATTAATAGTGTTTGTGTCAGATTTGAGCGAACAAGGATGGGAAAATAATATCAAAGATTTAATATTATTATCATGAATTGTTTTAAGTATAATATATATGAATACATCATATAAATGTTTATATATTATGAAGTCTAGTATATATGTTCAAAGTAACCCAAAACTAATACAAACATGTTTGTAACTTTATTGATACTCAATATACTTGATTCTCTACAATTTTTGCCCTATTGGTAATCGTTTTTCTGTTTTTCTGCATATTTTAATATTTTCCTAAAATCCTTAATAACAACTTTGTACCGTGTACGGACCTTATATGGCCTCTAAGTTTATTTCATTTCATAGCTAAATTAAACTGACGATTGGTTACTCATGTTATAAAGAATTTTAGTATTATATCGTAACTTGAACAATGAGCGTTTATCAAGTAGCGACATACTTATTACTTGATCCAATCATTGCTATTATAAGCATGATATTTAAAATATTTTAAATTAATAATAAATTATAATCCTTAGATTCTTTTTAAGGTACAGTTTTGTACGTATCACTATAACATATCACACTAAATGCTATTTTATATTTTTGTATAATTATTATGTAAATAATTATAAAGTTATTGTTGGTTTGTTTTTATTAATCGTACTTTTTTATATCTGGCTTTTGTTTATAAACATCCTTGAAATTGCGTTTATTAAATCTCAACGATGCGGATTTAACACAAAATTAGTAAAACAAAAACAAAATAAACAATACAGATTAATATGTAGGTATGTATTTCATATTATAATGCAAGCGCGGTCGAAATCTATCGTCCATACAAATGATGTTAACTACAGAGGTCAAACGTTTAAATTTTATATTCATGAAGTTCACGGTTTATAATAACGAAATTTATTAGCCGCCGACTGAAAGATTATACATATATAGTCATACTACTCTATCTTTTATTTCTTAATTATATTTCAAATTGGTTTTGGGAAACTACAATTAAATTATATATTTCAATGATATCTAAAATGTTTGGGAGTACTAATTTAAATTAAACTAAGGTTATCGGATAATACTATTCCTTTTATTACTTATTTTATACAACATACATAATTTCAACATTTCGGTGGTTCCTTAGCAGCGACCGTGAAAGTTAGAAAGAGATACGTCAGGATTATGAAGTTATAAAATAATAAAAACACGTATAAATAAAATTATTCGAAAACTTAGTTTATGATGTATATATATTATCGAAAAACTACATCTTACAATTTATTACGCTAATGCTTGCGTTATTTTTCAATTTCATACAGACCATGGAGAACTTAAAATCTGGCAGAGGTATTCAAGTGGTGGTTCCTGGACCTGAACACACCTTCACCCTGGACGAGGAGGCGCTCGAAGAGCTCTTACTGAGAGATGATGTTAAAGACAGATCAGTTGTGGTGGTGTCCGTGGCCGGCGCCTTTCGTAAGGGCAAGTCCTTCCTGTTGGACTTCTTTCTTCGATACATGCATAACAAGGTATATTCACTTGACTAGGTTAGGGCAAAAAGAACATTAGATGACAAAAAGTTGCAGTAAAATAACTCTAACGTTATGTTCATTCCAAAATGCTTTAAAGAGTAAGCATTTAAATCAACAGCAGGTATTAAGAAGTAGCTGTAGTGTGTAGATCCTCAACCTCTGCTCGAGTGTTGGCGGATTGGCTTATAAATGAATTACCTCTTCGTCTCATTAAAATACCGTTCAAGCGACAGACAAAATGATTTAGGGCTAATTCGACACCCTGTATTAGATGGTCATTGTGTTATTAGTATATTTTACATCATTTAAGCTTTCTGTAAAACAGACTAGGTTTCTGTTCTAGGCTAAAGCTCCTATATGAAGAATGAAATATGCTATTTAATATCACACATGCGTAGAACTTAGGAGAAAACCTACTTTTCCCTGGACAGAGAATAAACGTTATTGAAATATGTTGACACTCTTTGTCTGTTGAATGATGGTATTACTCAAAGTTCGTTTGACGACATTATTTATAATTCATATAAATTGGTACTACCAAGATATAAAATAATTTGTTATACAGATGATAGAATGGAAAGTGTTTTATATACTAGCCAACAGTGGCGGCTGGTGGATTATAAAACTGGTGGTGCACTTTACTAAAATATTAAAATTAGAAAATGCTACAAAACATAACGAGATGTCAATCACGGCTCAATTCGTCATACATCGCGCGCTCTCGGTAATCTTCGGCCGCTCGTGCGGCACTCGAGAACCGACTCGTTACTCGGTACATTTCTATGAACTATCTTTTGTTTCACGCGTCAGGCGTATTAATGCGTATCTGATACAAGATGTATTAGCAGTCCTCGTGCACTCGCCGAAGCGCACGAGATATTAGTTTAGTAAAGCGCACAAACTTTTTGACTATAATGAGAAAACTTAATTTTTTATACGTTTTTATGTTTAAAAAATAAATATTAAAATGGTAATTTAAAAATAAAGATGAAGTAATATTTTTTTTAAAACTTTTGAATTGGTGGTTCAGCGCACGAGTGCACTTAAGGTACAGCCGCCACTGCTAGCCAAGATAATATTTCCAAGTCTCAGGAACCAGTGGTAAAAAGTACATTGCAAATTGTGTCTAAAATTCAAGCATTTTTTGTTTTTTTCTTATAACTACAGCGAGATACAGCTTTTTTTTAATCACTAAAAAAAACGAAAAATGTCGCATCAATACTCTTGAAATAGACATGGGAAGAATCGTTAATTGAATAATAAAGCTAGATTAACTTTTTAAAAACTGGGTATGATTATAATATGTCCGTTACGATTATTATCCTTGCGAGGTTCCTGACTCCTACAAGACGGTGTTTTTTAAAAGAGAAGTGTACGGGTAAGATTAAATCTTACCCAACCATTCGTCCCAGAAGATTTGATGAAAATCTAAAAAATAATTCCTCATCCTTGTAAATGTGTGATAGCTCGAGATTATTCTTGTAATTCTTCTTCCAGTATAATCTTCATGGAAGTGGTGATGACTGGTTGGGGTCGGAGGACGAGCCACTGACAGGGTTCAGTTGGCGAGGAGGCTCCGAGAGAAATACTACTGGGCTGCTGTTCTGGTCACAGCCATTTAAGGCTACATTAGATAATGGAGAAAAGGTATAAAAGATTTAACATAACCTGCGTGTGTCTATCGCCATATAAATACTGTTTAACATCATATATGTATATTTTTCTAGGTGGTGGTCTATCTTATGGACACTCAAGGCACATTTGATAGTGAAACAACAGTTAAAGAGACTGCCACTGTGTTCGCTCTGTCCACAATGTTGTCCTCTGTAGAGATATACAACCTGTCACAAAATATTCAAGAAGATGATCTGCAACAGCTGCAAGTGAGTAAAAATGATCGCATGGCAGCTGTGGCTGTTAAAATAGACATGAGTTTTAACACACAATAATTAGCGTATCTGTTGTAGTGCGTGTTGCAGGTTGTGGTGATCTTAACAAAGTTTTTGTTTTTAAAATCAATATTTCTCCTGTATCTTTATAACCTTCGATTGTTGCCATATTAAAAACATGTTTTCTAAAAATTCTCCTTTCTTCTAATGTTAGTTGTTCACCGACTATGGGCGCCTGGCACAAGAGACATCTGAAGGCGCGCCCTTCCAGCGGTTGCTGATGTTGATAAGAGACTGGAGCTTTCCGTACGACCACCCTTACGGAGCAGTGGGCGGGCAGCAGTTATTGGAGAAACGACTTAAGGTGTGTACATGAAGTTATTAATCCGCGACCCTCATTAGATATTTAGAATAATTTCCATACATTTCTGTTACAAGAAAGAATCTAATAAAATTAAACTTAATAAGGTGACAAATTGCCTATTGATATTTTATGTATATAGACTGTGTCATAAAAATATTTTATTTTGATTGCCCTTCTAATTTTATAGTTATATTTAGAACATTCGTCTATTTTTCAGGTCCACGAGGGCCAGCACCCTGAGCTGCAAACACTTCGAGTCCAAATCATGAGCTGCTTCGAGGAACTCGCTTGCTTCCTCATGCCCCACCCTGGACTCAAAGTATCGAGTGATCCAAAATTCAAAGGGAATTTGGCCGGTGGGAGTCACAAACATCTATTGAAAGATGATAACTATATTACATTTTTTCGGTCTCATTTCTTTAATATTTATGATTTTTTTTTCAGATATAAGTGAAGAATTCAAGCTTTGTTTGAAACAACTTGTACCCATGCTACTCGCACCCGAGAACTTGATTGTAAAAAAGATCGATGGACACAAATTGAAATCCAGAGATTTGCTTTTGTATTTTAAGTCGTACATAAATATATTTAATGGCCCAACACTCCCCGAGCCGAAGACTATTCTAGAGGTGGAGAAATTTAATTGAACATTTTTCTTTATAGAAATTCAATTAATTTATATACTTTTTACAATACAGGCAACTGCAGAGGCTAACAATTTATCAGCTATGGCAGAAGCTAAGGAAGTTTACGAGACGCTGATGGAAGAAGTCGCTGGTGGAGCGAAGTCCTACCTGCAGCCGTCACGACTCGAGGAGGAACACCACCGAGCGAGGGACAAAGCGCTGCACAGCTTCCGCTCCAAAAAGAAAATGGGTGGAGTTGCGTTCGAAAACTTATACGCTGACAGACTGGTCAAGGTAACAGAGGAATCCACAAATACTAATATTAATGGAAGCCAGTTAGTTTGGTGCCAGTTTGATAACACTGGATATTTTTCATGTAGGAGTTAGAGGAGCAGTACGAGCAGTACAAGCTTCGCAACGAGGACAAGAACCTGTTCGGTCAGGTGGGAACGATGGTGATTCTGCTGATGTTGGCGCTGGGCATGTACATGGTGGGGACAGTGGCGGGCGTGTTGGGCATAGAGTCACTGCAGGCTCTGGCCAAGACGGCGGCCATGGTTTTCCTGATCTTGATGGCGGTTTGCATCTACTCTAGGTACTTACCTCAATATTATAATACTTTTTTAATAAAGTACTATCTTTGCGCTTGCTTTTGGTGTCGATAAGACGCTAATTGCCCCCTTCACAATTAAATGTTGATTTAAGTGCGACAAGTAAACTTCTCGCACTCAAATTTTCATTAGCACCCGCAAATTCGTGATTTGACGTAAAACTTATAAAAAATAAAATAAATAACATGAAATATCAAAAAGGAACAAGTATAACACAACACAACCTATCCTAAGGTAAGGTCCTGTTGTCAGTGGTTACTGCAACTTAAAAAAAAAAGAAAGTTATTTTTATGGAAGATTGTATTTTCAATTCATACTAAGCGTTTTAATTAACTATTTTGACATTTAGATATTATAAAGATTAAGACTTCAAGTCGACAAAAAGGAATAGGCCTATATAAAAGTAACTATGTTTTCAATGTAAAAGAATTGTTGAGTGGAAATAAAAAGAGGAAAATAAGTTAATACTCTCTGATTAATTTGAAATATGTTCTATTACAGAGTCACCGGCAAGATGCGAGATTTCACTATGCAGCTGGACCATCTGGCGGGATATGTACGATACATGGTTTAAATAATATGTTTTATATCAACGTTATCAAATATAATTGAATACTTCTGTTCAGGTGATGGATAAGGTTGGCCTGCTGGGAGGATGGCGGACCGCTGCGACGATACTCAGCTACAGCGGAGTCAAGAACAAGCAGTCATAGTACTTAAGTGATACCTCAATAATTTATATATTTGTATATGGCCAAGCATCGCACTCGTTTTGGAACCAATTTATTTAAGAGAATGTTTTTCATAATTTAATCAAGTCATTGACTCATAAAATGCAAAATGTTTAGAACCTACCTATATGAGGGTAATTTTATGGTTATTCTAAGTCGACATCGTACTTACTACACACGGATTTCCGAGCTTTAATAGTGTTTCATTGATAAATCTTTATATAGATATAGGTACTCAGAATAAACTCAGAATCAGCTCACTGTTGACAATCATTTTTGAAATAAGCTTTGGAACGATCGTCTAACTCTTAGTAAAAAAATTACACGCATTATATGTACTAAAATTGAAAGAGAAAATCTGACATACATTTATTTACATTTACAACATTATGAAAACATGTTTTTGTCTTTATCGTTAGGAACAGAATAAAAACCTCAATTGCTACTATGTGTAACAAATAAGTAAGCGTCTCTTTTAATGCTTATTAAGGCTTAAGATTTCATTTGAATATAATCAGGATCGAATAAACGGAGAAACAGAACAAAATATATTATTGAAGTGAAACTTCTTATGGGACTTCCAACAAGGTTGCGTTAAACGTTTAACGCTCCTGGGGAGGGGGAATAGGGACGGAGAGTGAGTTTAAATGGGTGGATCCATTGTGAACTGTAAGCAATGTTTATAGTTTTCCTTAAAGAAATTATGAGTTCACTAAAAATTTATTTGGACCCCTTCTTATTTTCATTTACACATTATGAAGTTGCACTTCTTCCATCTTCCAAGGGACTCCATTATTATTATTTATTTATTACAAGTTTTTACTTTATTTTTGTAATTTCATATGTTATTGAAGAATAGTGAATGTATGAATGAATGAATAAAAATAAAAAATATAACGTTTTATAAGAACTGTATTTTTATTGTTATCTTAAATAATTAATATTCCTGTATTTTAAACAAGTGTAGGTTCAACATAAACGAGGCTCTACAGGCGTTACTGAGTCAGTAACAAACAACACAATAAACTATTAATTTTACAACAGACAGTTCAAAACAAGTTTTGTTCCCATTGTGATATCTCGTCAACCGATTCCTTGTATTGGCACGTCAGGAATATATATATATCTACAGAAACAGATATGTTTAGACAACATTTATTTACATTTTTTTTTATTTTTTACAAGTATGGACCGTTACCTCCGATGTCAAATAGTAATATTTGATTTTAAGTACAGTTCGTGTTGATGTGCGCATCAACGATTGTTATATTACTATACCCAACATTTAAAACACGTCTCTTCCCTCGGCGATCAATATAATAATGTAAGATGTCCTCGGTATGTTTGATTCGCCGTGGGAATTGTTTCATCATTATTTGTGCAGCCAGTCCGTCCAGCACGTGTAACTGATTACATCTAGTTATTGCTCTCTAGTCTCTTCCTACATGATTTACAAAACAATATAATTTATAATATGATTCCTTCGCGGTCGAGGTTCTAACACAATGTTTATTTTAATAATATCTCTGCGCGTCGTATTACCCTATTATCCTCTATAACTAACAACATAATTTGTCTATGACTGTACAAGAACCTTACACGAACACCCTCCCCCACCGAACCTTCAACAATCCGTTATAAAATATCTGAAAACCAACCACTAAGCTACATAAAAACGAGTACAGTCTGCCACACGCGACACATCCACACCGCACTCATCATATTTTCAACCAAAATTTCACCGCCTGTTACCGTTTGACCGAAATAATGCCCCGTCATATTTTTAAAATCATTTTCTGTTCCAGTATCCACTTATCGTTATGTACATAATAATTGAGCATGTTTTTCTTCACAGTCCTTAACAGTTTTGACTTCTATAATGTTACGTGAATTGAACTAGGAATTTTACAATCACCGCTGATTTTGTCCCGGCACATCCTTCTATGATGTGAAGAAATATGTTTAAAAAGTAGATTGTATTTAAAATTTACAAAATTACTAAAAGTATCCAAATAAAGTTGTCTATGAGTAGTGAAGACAGTCAAACATTTTGTATAAAACGTGAGAGTACACGGGTAGTGTCTATTGTTGGCGGGTCTGACATGTTCACTAAGCACTTCGACACTGAGGACACAAACAGAGCACAAGTCGTCCAACGAGCTTCTGGTGCCGCAGCCGTGGTCGTGGCCGGCGTGGCCAGCGTGGCAGTCGTGGCAGTGGCGACATCACAATTGTTTGTATTTGCCATTAGCGTTGGGCGTGGAGGGTCCCAAGGCGCGCTCGGCCGCCGCGGCCGCCGCATGCTCCATGCCCTTCTCGATGCCCGCCTGATACACCGGCTTCATGACCTGCAACACGATCGGTGGTTATTAACTATTATATATAAATCTAAGAATATTTAAACGTATTATATTTCATCCAACTCACGTTCTCCCACAGCCAGCTGGCGGAGTCGTCTATAGTAACACCTAGTTCTCTCATTTCACCGCTGTACCTGTAACACAAACACATATGACATTCCGGTTGTTAATTACATTACTTATCATAGGACATACGGAGCGGCGGTAACTGGTACCTGATGTAGGCCCACAAGGCGAGGGTGAGCAGCGCCAGTCCCATGACCAGGTTACAGAGGTTCGCCAGCGGGTACAGCGCCAGGAGCCCCAGGACTCCGCTCATCACGTAGAAGGCCAGCGCCACCGCGAACAACACCGACGGGGTCCGCGCCGCCTTGAAGATGTTTTTGCTCTCGTTGTGGGCGCGGAACTGTTGGAACTGTTCCTCTAGGTCCTGGAACAGATTCAGATACTTAAGTTGAATATAATACTGCTCTCTGTGAGTTACTTCAGGGACAATTTAGCAGAAGGAGACAGATAATACACGAACAGGTCAAAACTACAACCATTACTCATTAAGCTAAAAATAAGATTCTAACTGGATATCAGTTAAATGGGAATTTCCTTGAAGAAGTAGATTCTATACGTGACCTTGGCATTTTCTTTGATCAGAAACTGAAATTTGATAAACACATAGATACAATAATTTTAAAAGCCACTAAAAATTTAGGATTTTTAATATGAGAAGGTAAAAATTTTAAGGTACCTGTAGCGGAGCTACTTAGACTAAGTTCATATTTTTTATGTAATTATGTATAATTCTTTGGTACGGAGTCACCTAGAATATGGATCTGTAGTTTGGTCTCCTCATTATAAATACTACCTTCAAAGAATTGAAAAAATTAAAAAGAAACTTATGAGATATTTAACTTATAGTTGTAATCTAAAAAGAAAACTTACTTCCTATCAGGATCGTCTTAGTTATTTCAATTTTGCGAAATTGTCTAATCGCAGAAAATTTTGGATTTAATATTTCTTACCAAAATTGTTACGGGATCTTTAAATGATCCCAATCTATTAAAAAAAGTAATTTTCGTATTCCTTCCAGACTGCCAAGGTCATGTAATCTACATCTGTTCTGCCAGGCTAGACATTATACTAACCTTAAATTGTACAGTCCTCTATCAAGAATGTATAATGTATTTTCTGAGTACCAAGATAGTATTGATTTAACTACTACATCCATAAAATCAGTAAAAAATATAGTACTAAAATAGAAATTACCAATTCATTTTATTTAGACTCTTTTTTTGTTTGCTTATTTCACTTTGATTTTGCTTTATATACCATATTTTTCGTATAATATATACAGTATATCTTAAATAATAAAATGTTGTTCTGCTAAATAATTCGTGCATGATGTGTTCTCCTGTAAATATTTGTGACACTTAGTTTTAAGATTTATTCACTGAAAATTGTATTTATTTAGTGTACACATTGTTGGAGAACCAAATAAATAAATAAAGCTACAATGAATGTATTTGAAACTGAAGCCAAAATGAACAACGTTTAATTCATTTTGGCATGAAGAACTTGCATGCTCGACGTTCAATTTATGATGTTATGATTATGTTCAATATCATAAATGGTAATATTGAAAGCAGCCATCTACTAGCTCAGCTTTTTATTTCGGTACCTAATAAAATTCCTCGTCAACGCATTACTAAAATTTTTTACCATCCACGAGTTCGAACAAATCTAGGTGCGCATTCTCCACTTGCGAGGATGTGCAACTTATACAATTTCCTAAATAAAGAGATAACAGATTTGAACGTTTCATGATTCATTTTCAAAAATCAAACATACTTTGCATAAATATTACTCTCTAAAATTGTTACTGTTTCACTTTTAATTTATGTGCTTTTTTTTTGTAGAAGTAATTTAATTTAGTTAGATTAAGGTGTTGTCGTTGTTATAAAACTTTTTAGACAGTGCTGTGAATACCTGTAATAGGTGTACATATGAAGACCTATACTTTTGACTGTATTTTTGTGTAAATGGTGTTCCTAAGTAAATAAAATAAAATTTTAAAAAAAAATGTATGTACCTGTATGAGCTGATCGTGGTAGGATTTGCTGAACTCGTCGCCCCCCATCTTCCTCTTGGCGCGGAAGGCGTGCAGCGCCTTGTCCCGCACCCTGACGTGCTCCAGGTCCAGCAGCTGCGCCTGCAGGTAGGGCCGCGCGCCGCCGCACACCTCCTCCATCAGAGTGGTGTACACGTCGCGCGCCTCCGCCACCGCCGTCAGGTTGTTGGCCTCCGCTGTCGCCTGCCACATACATACACATACATTATATTAAAGTTAAACAGTTATATCAATATCTTAGTACTGCAAAAAACATAGGGATAATTACAGCAAATGATGTAATTTCACCTCATCGTAAAGGAAACAGATGACCTGTTTGTCTCTTTTCAAATATGTAAATAGATTTTTTTTTCTTTATTTTCTTTAACAAATTTGTACTTAAATATAAAGTTATTGGAGTCTCCTTTTAAGCATATGAAAAAACTGTGCCAGGAAACTCCGCTCTTCTATATCACGAATTAGGTACAAGTATATGAGATATTTAAGATACAACAATAATAAAGAAACAATATAAAAAAGAAGTAATTACCAAAAAGGATGCAAATGTGGGTTTAAAATGTATGTGTATGCATGCGTGCGCGTGCGCATTTGTATGTGTGTGTAGGATATGAATGCCTGTTCCTATATTCTAAAAAAAATCCGTTTCTTGAAAACTTAAAGTTTTTATCCATTTTATTTTATATCAACGTATTTATTTATTTTATTATATAAATAAGCAGATCTATTATTATCATACTGAATCCTAGCGAAGACTGTTTTAGTAGCAGGGATAGATATAACATTATATGCTATACGTTTATTGAGTAACGATATATCGTAGGTTAGACTTGTGTTTTTTAGAACAGTATGCACAATATACAATTGCTTTCATAGGAGCCATTTTTTTTTTGTCGAAACAAGTTGAAGTATATAACATCTCACCACGAGCATGCTCTTCGGCTCGGGCAGGTCGTTGCCCCTGTATATGTTCATGTAGCTCCTGAAGTACTGCAGCAGGTCCTTGACCCTGACTGGCTGGCCGTTGATCAGTTTGGGCACCAGGTTGTGTGGAGCCAGCAGCATCGGCACCAGCTGGAGCAACGCGCGCTTAAACTCACCTTCGATGTCTGAGGACATTGATGATTTGATATTAAACTTGATAGTACTGACATCGAAATAAAACTAAAACTATTTTTAACATTTTCCTGCACTATACTGTAAATTTTAGTTTGAACTAGATTTGCCCGCGACTTCGTCCGCGTTAATTTCGGCATTAGTAATATACAGGGTGACTGGTGAATTACTATCGATATTTGAGGACGTGATATTTGACGATCATATATGACAAAATAAAAATTAATATAACATAAATATTAATAAACTTCTAAGTAAAGTTAACCAAAAGTTATGTAATTAATTACGCATCGTGTGAGCACCCTACAGATTAGGTATACACATACACACACACACACACACACGTTGGCGGCGTGGTGGTGTATCAGCACGCCGCCGCACGCGTCCACACTTGGAACACTTGGAACGTGTCCACACTTTATTTATTTATACGGAAATTTGGTCAAAAATTAAGTACCTATTTTTTTTACATAATTCGAATGAGAATCATGTACCGAGTATTCTCCTTAAATATTGATAATAATTCACCAGTCACCCTGTATAAAGAAAGCTCACAAGTGGGGCAATACCCAACAACTACAAAATAACAGAAATGTTATAACAATTAAGAATTACGTTAACATGAATAGTTTGGCGGTATTTAACAAATTAACTACAGAAAGAAACTGTTGTCTATAGATATTGAGTATCATAACTCTTTTTTTAACGAAAGGAATGCTTATTGGCTGTCGATCGTGCCTACATAGACCGGTAAAAGGTACATAGCGATAATGTCGTTTTGGCTAGGAGTTGAGTTCTCAATTAAGTAAATATGGTTTTTCGCTTATATGAGGAAAAGTCGAACATTTTCCGAGATGTAAAGTAGCCTATGTGTTATTCCTGTACGTCAGTTTCCTGTATACAAAATTTTATCAAAATCGGTTCAGCCGTTTGAGCCTGAAGAAGTAACAAACATACACACACACTGACAAATTTTCGCAATTATAATATTATATACAGGGTGACTGGTGAATTACTATCGATACTTGAGGACGTGATATTTGACGATCATATATGACGAAATAAAAATTAATATATCATAAATATTAATAAACTTCTAAATAAAGTTAACCAAAAGTTATGTAATTAATTACGCATCGTGTGAACACCCTACAGATTAGGTATACACACACACACACACGCGCGTGTGGCGGCGCTGTGTTGTATCAGCACGCCGCCGCACGCGTCCACACTTGGAACACTTGGAACGTGTCTACACTTTATTTATTTATACGGAAATTTGGTCAAAAATTAAGTAACTATTTTTTTTACATAATTCGAATGAGAATCATGTACCGAGTATTCTCCTTAAATAATGATAGTAATTCACCAGTCACCCTGTATAAGTAGGATAAGAGTGCATATTATTACAAGGACGTTAATAAAAAATCTGAGTTAATCTGGAGCTAGCTCATGTAGATGTTCGTTTAACTGAATGTGTGTCACGTAAGTATTATATGCATTACCAGACAGGCGTCCATCAAAGTCGGGGCTGGTAGCGACTTTGAGTCCGGGGTGAGGCATTAAGAAGCAGGCGATCTCCGAGAAACATGACGTGATGTGTTTACGGAGAGACTGTAGCTCGGGGTGCTGCTTGTCAGACACCTGGAATGATGACGGGGTACTTTAAGTAGCTTACTTTACTACAAACAATACGAACTAACAATCATATATTGGAGCTTAATTCAACTGCACATTTATACAAATCTTCCACTTAAGTCAAAATAATAGTTCATCACAGTCAAAACTTAAAGATACGAAATTTACCAAGTTTAGTTGTCTTCATGTAAGTTTTTTTACTGTTAATTGAAAACTGTAGATAGAAGACCGTAACTGATGCCTTCAGACACTTGGCGTGTTACATATAGGGTGGATTTTATAAAATATTAAGGATTCGAAGATGAAAGAAATGCTTTTGATTGAGGAATGCCAGCTTAGGGATACACTCATACTCTTTTTCCCTCAGATTGATAGGAACCGGGATCTAACACCTTGAATTATGTGATATCTCACTTTCAATCTTCTCTGTAGTATTTTTTGACCGCCCTCAGCTCCATAGGGCGCCTCGTAAGGGAAGCTCCAGTCCCTTACAACGAACTGCAGCCGCTGGAAGGGAGTCCGCCCGCCGTCCTCTAGCGCCAAGCGACCGTACTCAGTGAACAACTGGAAAAAAGTTCACTGATTTTGTACATAATATTTTATAAATAAATTTATATTGTGTTCTTGTGTGGAAGACTTCGGAACGTTTCTTGTATCAGAAACTGATTAAATTTTAAATCGAATTTGGGGTCATCTGAATTTTGGTCGAATACCTACTAGAATAATTTATGCCACATATGAAAGCGTGGAATGGTTGTGTCAACTGAAAAGAACCAAACGTTCTTCCTGGTATTGTCTTGAAATTAAAGAAATCATATACAGTAGGACCTGATTATCCGGACTAATTGTTGTCGGTAGGCATCCGGATAATTGAAAGTCCGGATAATCCAATATATGAAGAAAAACGGGCTTTTTGCATATGTAGTCTGTACCATACATATGTCATTACATATAACCTAACATTTTAGGTGTTTATTTAAAACAACAAATACATATGAGCGAAAATCAACGTTTATTAAGAAATTGTACATAATGTACGTATAAGTGTTATAAGTGGCGTGGCGCTATGCAAGTTCTGACATGTTAATCTATAATAAAATTGTCGAAAAGTGCTGTCTGTACATTGAAAATAAAAATAAAAAAATAGCAGAGGTTATTGTTATGTCGATGTCGAACCCAAAAATGTAATTAACTTTTTTTTTGTCTGTTTGTCTGTTCACGCTAATCTCAGAAACGGCTGATCCGAGTTGGATGCGGTTTTCACGAATATATTGTGGTATGCTTCAGTTATGCTTTAGTGTTTGGTTCATGTCAATCCGTTGATAAATAAAAAAGTTATGTCAAATTAAAGAATCACGTCGAACACTATTCTATGCTTATACATACATAGGCACCATTAATCTCCGCAACTATTTGACGGATTTTGTTGAAATTTTGTACCGACATATTTTAGAGCCTGGCGCAACATAAAGTATCCAAAATAAAAATAAGTATATGTTTAAAAAAAAACGCTGCTCATAGTCGTTATTCCACAGTCGCGGAATTCATAAGTCGCGGGCACAGCTAGTGTTAGAATAAACTCGTCGCGATTGGCAGTCCGGATAATCGCGAATTCAAATAACAGGGGTCCGGATAATCGGGGTCCTACTGTATTCCATTTCTCCAAGATACCAATAATAACAATAGTGTTAAGTATTTTTCACCTGTAAGTGCTGGAGGTCGTCCTCCTGTATGTTCTGCGCCAGGTTGTAGATCTGAACCGAGGACAACATTGTAGACAGCGCGAACACCGTCGCACACTCGCGGACTGTGGACTCACTGTCGAAGGCACCTTGAGTGTCCAGCAGGATTATGGCTACCTGGGGGATGACACATAGTGAGATAAGGGATCAACATTGATGGCTGTCAAAGTGTTTGCACTATTTTGATCAATATGGGTTATACCTTTTCCCCAGTCTCCAGCGTGGCCTTGAATATCTCGGACCACATGAGTATGCCGGTGGTGTCTCGCTCGGAGCCCCCTCGCCAGCTGAACCCTGACAGCGGCTCGTCCTCGGACCCCAACCACTCTCCGCCGCCCCCGCCGGCTCCGTACTGCTCATTGAGGTTTATGATTCAGTTATGATGTATGAACGAACTATTAAAGGCATTTTGCGTTACAGTTGAGGCCGTGGGAGACTTTGCTTTGTATTTGATTGTAGGAAAAGCTGGACTAAGAGTAAAGGACTCTTTACGTTATAATTATCATGAGGAAGTCTTGCGCATTAATTGTTAAGCCAAAAATGTTTTTAAAAATTATATTAAAATGATTTTAAATTAAAAAAATGTCAGATACGTAAAGATTTTATTTTAAACATTCGTAAAGATCAAAGATTCTTTAAGTAATGCTCCCATATTTGGAGTGAGGACTTGAAGTTAGCATGATGTCATTCTGCTACAACAAGTCGTGACTTAATTTGATACATACAAATAAATATGAACAAAGATGACTCTTATTGCGAAGAAAATATAAGAACTCTGTAAAAAATATTAAAACACTCTGATTAAAGGATATATTCAATAAGAGAATAAGAGATAAATATCTTACTGAGGTGGTGGTAGGAACCAACCTTGTGATGCATGTACCGGAGGAAGAAGTCGAGCAGGAAGGACTTGCCCTTCCTGAAGGCGCCGGCCACAGATATGACGACGGCTGCCCTGTCCTTGATGTCGTCCTGCAGCAGCAGCTGTTCCAGCGCCTCTTCATCCAACACGAACGTGTGCTCGGCGCCCGTGTTCACCACCTGCACCCCCCGCGCTCCTGTCCGCGGAGGGGCGGCCGGCTTCTCTGTCACTGAAAACACCGTTAACTGGTTACTATATATGACCCAAAAAATTTATTTTTTTATCGTCCATGTAAAGCGATATGCTTAACTATTTTTCACACGACCTGTGTGAAACTGACACCGAGAATGTTTATTATATGAAAAGTATTCTTTAATCGAGGTAATAAAGTTTATTTTCATTCAATATCTGTTCAAGTTTAAAATCCCACAGCAATGCGTCTCGTGTATCATTCACCCTTGACAAAAAATACATTTGGTTTCTAGGTTTTTATATTTTGTTGCAGATATTCAATGTAGTTTAATGTTTGTTTCTCTCGTAATGGTAGGTACGTGTGATGTGCATGAATAAGCCACGGCGGCGACCATAACTCATTAGGTAATCACTAACAAGCATGACAGTCATAGATGTTATCTTTCCACTGCTATGTTATTAACTGGTTCAGGTATTTTAAAACGTCTATTTGTAGTCACATCGGACACATGTGCTCTATTTAATAACATCCACTACACCACCTCGTCGTTTCTGCTCCACGAAATACATTTCTACATTTTCAATGTTTATTTTGTAGTCCATACATTGATTTACGAGTTTTAACCTAGTATGATACGTGATAGAATTTCTTTTTGTGTGAAATGATGTCAGTTGAAGGAACGATGTGAGTCACTTTTGTTTAGGAAATGATTAGCGTAAATATAGACTTTTTAAAACAAGACTCGGTTGTTAACTGTTAGAGTAGACATGTTGTGTAAATACGAGATTTTATTTTCATTTCGTGTTTCCGTCATCGAAAATGCAATTGCAAAGCAATCATAGCAACGCAGGGAATAGTATAAATTTAATAAAATCGAAAAATAAATGCGAAAACATAGTTTTATTTATAGATGTGTGAAACTGGTTCCAAATACGTTTTATAAAGATAGGACCATTGAGTTAAGTTTAAACAAGGTTTTTACCAACAAAATAGAAAAAAATACTAAGGATGAAAGTACGTTATATTCCTTAAAATCTAAAAATAAATCATTTGTTTACATTTGTTAAATGGTGGAGTGTATTGATATTAAATGTTATAGTATGTTATTATTTCGAGAACATTTTATTACAGCGGTCGGTCCGATGACCTCATACAAGAGTCGAGGGCATCCATTCACAAATAACAAATGTCAAGAAAACAATCAGTCTGCTAAATATTCTGCAAGATGGGACACACGACTTAAGGATATACAATAAGAGGAATATACATAAAAAACTTTTCATTTTATTCCGGTTTTATGACTTAAATATTTACTAAATAAACACGATGCACTAAAATCTTTGGTGAGTCCGTTCGTATGTCTGTATACACGGAAATAGAAGCCAAGGTTGTGACGTGCGTGAACAGAGTGATGCTGAACACTAGATTGGCGAAATAGTATTTATTATTTGGATATAAAACACAGATTTAATACATATCATTATTAGATAGAATTAAATTTTAAATAACTTTGATCCAACACGGTCGAGACGATCATTAAAGGATTTTATTAATCATACATACAATATAACAATAATTAGGTATATTTTTTATTATTGAAAGAAATACTCGTCATCAAGACACCGCTTGTATAATGAAGTAGAAAGATCCGTGTGTGATTTAAAAAGTTATTCTTATTGTTATTCTATAAATATAAGTTAAGTAACTTATCTATTTTTTTGTTCTTGAAAATTTTTTAAATGATCTACGGATTTTAACTGGGTAGTACCTTTTCTTACGATTAGAACCAAGTATAAGTTACAAGTTATGAAGAAAGGGCGCTCAGCACATACCTAAGTTATAACAATAACAAAACATTAAAATAAAATCCTTTCCGCTGCGTGTGGGCTGATTCAAGATAATTACTAGTCATGTTAAGTCTCGTATTATAAGTGGTTGATGTATGTTGAGGACGGTTGATTGTTTACTTACAAAAGACTCTACGTCGATGTTACAATAAAAAATTAGTTTCAAAATCATAGGAGTCGACCAGAAGCATTCATAAATAGACAGAGCATGTGCGGTTGAAGTTTGAACCAATTGAATCATTTGTAGCACAAAAGTTTTGATTGGTCGCTTGACAGATCGTACAATAGAGTAGTGAAGGAAACTTCCTATTTGTAGTACAAACTACAAGTATTAATTAGCAATGATTTGAGTTGATTTGAGTTTGTGTTAAACAAACAGACACTACCAAATTTTGAGTCACTATATATGTCTCTCATCCGGGCCACAACCTCGGTCCCTGGAATGATATACAGACCTTCAACTTGAACGTGGCGTTTACATGACACGGGGACGACACGATTTTTTAACAAACGACACGGAATAATATCTATTACGTTAAAGTGCGCTTATTTAACGAAAATGTCGGAAAGTGTAAAAGGGGTTTTGATAGGTTTTGAAATTGTCACTAAAAATACGTAAAGAATTTTTGTATTACCAAAAAATATTATTTAATATTTGATTATTATTTAATATTTTTTTATATCTCATAGTTCAATATATTGGATGACTGTTCAACAGAATTAAAGACGGTTTAGAACATGTACACTGATAAGATGAGATAATTCAAGAGGCTGGATGACGCAACACGGATACATGAGATGAGAATTAGGAACACATCACTCATACGCAATGTGGGTTAAATGGTACATGGATATTGATTTTGACTTATACAGGATGACTGGTGAATTACTATCGATATTTGAGGACGTGATATTTGACGATCATATATGACAAAATAAAAATTAATATAACATAAATATTAATAAACTTCTAAATAAACTTAACCAAAAGTTATGTAATTAATTACGCATCGTATGAACACCCTACAGATTAGGTATACACACGCACACATACGCGTGAGGCGGCGTGGTGTTGTATCAGCACGCCGCCGCACGCGTCCACACTTGGAACACTTGGTCGTGTCCACACTTTATTTATTTATACGGAAATTTGGTCAAAAGTTAAGTACCTATTTTTTTTACATAATTCGAATGAGAATCGTGTACCGAGTATTCTCCTTAAATATTGATAGTAATTCACCAGTCCCCCTGTATATAGGTAACAATGAACCTAAATATACGCCCTTTAAATTAATTAAAACTAAGTTTTTCTAAGCTAGTGTTGTATTCAGACTTTAACATTGGTACAAGACTTTTAATGGTCTCAATGCCATCCAAGTACAGCGGCCCACGTTTATAAGACCTTACATATACTCACGTTTCTCATTGATACGTATAAATTTGTATATTAACGTCGAAACTGTCAGTGTGTCCGTCTTTATGTAAACCAGAAGTAAGGCTGGATACACAGTCAGATATTACGCTGTATATTGTAACATATATTTGACAAAATAAGTAACAGTCTTACTGGAAGCAAACATTATATGGATTAAATTAAAGATTACTAAAAACGAGTTTTAACTAATGTCCGTTAATCTATGTTTATGAAGTCTACATTACAACATCTCGCACCTTCTAATTTCAGATCTAGTACAAATCGATTACGTGCATGTAGAATGTTGGACTAAAGTAATGAGTAATACTTCATTTATACTCAAACCTTCTCCATGTTAGATGAGGTCTTTGCTCAGCAATGGGCTCTGATAGGCTGATGATGATGAATGAGCAATACGTGGCTTATAAACGAAAATATATATTAAATATATTCTTTTTAAAATATATATTTCATGATTTATATATTGGAAAAACACTCCATTAACGAGCTAATTTATTACGGCACCATCGAATTGGAAAAAATTTAATATAGCGTAATGATTTTATGGATGATATAATGTCGAATTGATGAAGCAAATATTCCATGCTGGTTCAAGTCATGTAGAGTATCTGTGAGGCATGCATGTTGGCGGACGACCAAATATTATTGGTGTGTCAGTAACCCGCCCTGGATGAGGGCCAGGGAAGTGAAGTCACAGGCAGGTGTATGATCATACCAACCACACACATTTAACATGCTCATTAATAATTTGGGTTAACTTATGATGTCAAATCTGCACGAAGTTAAGGCTTAATCTAACTTTGAACCGTGGTATGTCACAAAACAATTTGTGAATGACTTGGAAATAAGGTGTAACTATTTTAATATATATTGAATGTTAGTTTGTGGTCGTTAAATGTGAAAGGAATGGTCACTGTATTCAAAATTGAATGATTTCTATTAAATTATTATTATTGTTACTGATATTTCACGATGTACTCACAATCGGTTTAATAAAACATACCTCTCAGCCATAAGGAAGGATTTTAATTTACTTCATATTTCCTTTAATAATGTTGAGTTTCGAGTGTAGAGAATAATTTTTCTAGCTATTTCAACTATATCTCGTAAGTTAATAATGTTTTATTAAATCTTATCTTTTTACAAAATTTAAGTATTTCAATACAAATGTTTAATTTAATGTTCAGAAAATAATAATTTCATATTAGATTATTTTTTATTCATTCTAAAGATATTAAAAAAGATTTCCTTAAATCTTTGTATAAATAACATAAAAGACTTTAACGATCTCTGTCTATTGTAAACCGGTTGTCACCTGTAGAATGGCCAAACTGATTTTAATGAGATTTAGCATTGATGGAAGAGTTTGTAGAACATCTTATGAGTGATATATTTAGCAATTTAATATGAAACCGCAATTTAATTAAAATAGTTTACCATTATAGGAATACAGGCGAAGCAGTGTTTAAGTTCAAGATTGTCAAGGTCAGCGAAAAATATTATATAGTGTATTATATAAATGTACATAAAACAAATAAATATTATTGCTTTCCGTGCCTAATTTTTAATTATTCTGATTTTTAAGCTTCGTAACTGTAAAGTTTGATCAAATTAAATAGTTTCTGCGTGAACAACAAACACCTATAAACCTTTATCAACTTTAATAATAATCATTACTTTAGGTTTAGTAGGAAAATTAACTTTTTACTTTTAACTATGCACACATCTCTATTCAGCAAAATGTAATTTAAATGGTATATAATAATAAAGAAACAAATGCATCGATTATTCTGTTCTTGAATAATACTATTTATAGTAATTTCATAATGTCATTTATTTTAATACTTCACAATATAACTCGTCATTTATGTGTATATAAGTCAGGCGAACGTAAAATGATCATTGACCCTGAGAGCTGACACAATCACTGAAGTTTTATAAGTCGATAATTATTAATAGCACGACATATAATAATATTGAATAACATATAATAATATTG